TTTATTCGCCTTGGTGTGAGAATTAGGTACATGTGGGTATTAGTTATTGCAATTGATATCTTGCATAGTTCAAAACCAGCCCTACTCAGCACTCAACAAACTCCGTCAAGGAAATACATTTGATAGGGTTTATAGTATTTCTTGCAGGCTCCAGTTAATTTCATCACAGGAATGTAGTGTAGCCCCAATAGGCAGATATGTCCAGCTATGGTGGAAACAAGAAAGGATGGCAATAAAAATAACTTCTCTGCTATATGGAAGATCTTAATGGGTCTTGCTATTGGGTGGTGGCAAGCACATTCAGACTTACGTAAGCAAATTGATAGATCTATGAAGCCCCCAGTGGCACAGTGGGTTAAACCACTGAGCTGCAGAACTTGATGAGCGAAAGATCACTGGTTTGAATCTGGGGAGCGGGGTGAGCTCCTGCTGTTAGCCCCAGCTTCTGCCAACCTAGCAGTTAGAAAACATGCAAATGTGAATAGATCAATCGGTACCGCTACAGTGGGAAGATAATGGCGCTCCATGCAGTCATGCTGGCCACATGACCTTGGAGGTGTCTATGCACAATGCCGGCTCTTCGGCTTAGAAATGGAGATGAGCATCAACCCCCAGAGTCGGATATGACCGGACTTAATGTCAGGGGAAAATCTTGGTGATGAAAAGTCTTTGACAAAGACAAATACAAAAAAAGAGTTAAATACCTAGTCCTAGTAGGCATAGGCCAAGGGCAAGATGGATGGATGGATGGATGGGATCCTTGAAGTGACTGGATTGACCTTAAAGGAGCTGGGGTGGTGACGGCCAACAGGGAGCTCTGGCATGGGCTGGTCCATGAGGTCACGAAGAGTCGGAAACGACTGAACGAATGAACAACAAGAAGTAGGCATAGGGTTGAAATCTGAGAGACCAGATGGAACGCTGTTGTTATGTGTCTGCAAGATTTAGTGATTTACCATTGCTTTTGTCTTAGGTTGAGTGTGGGACTTGCCCACAGTTACTCAAGGTTGCCAGGGCTGAGAGGGGATTTGAATCCTGGGCTCCAGGAGTCCTAGCCAATCTTCTGGTCAGCACACCACACTAACTTCCCCACTAGGAGTATCAAATATGAAAATAGTGTTTTTTCTAACCACTGTTAACAAAAAAAAATGGCATTAACAGTGGCTAGGAAAAAATGGTTCCATACATAGACAATCCAAATGAATTGACTTTCCTACTTTGCTCAGATATTAGTCATGTTTTTCCTGGAGCCATTCCCCCTTGTCATCTCCAAAACAGTGCTCTCATTTTCTAAAGAAAACGAAGATCTGAAGCAGAATGGTATCATGTATATGCTAGGGATAGGGAAGGACTAGAACAGATATGGCATAATAATGGCCTATTACATTAGGTATGAGAACAGGATTTGTCTACAACGCTTTCTGATAAACATATACTCAGAATGAAGGCCCACTGAGAACAATGGGACATGTTTAGGTTTTGTTATTTATTCGTTCAGTCACTTCCAACTCTTTGTGACCTCATGGACCAGCCCATGCCAGAGTCGGCAGTGGCCACCCCCAGCTCCTTCAAAGTGAATCCAGTCACCTCAGGGATAACATCCATCCATCTTGTCCTTGGTCGGCCCCTCTTCCTTTTCCCTTCAATTTCCCCCAGTATCATTGTGTTCTCTAAGCTTTCCTGTTTTCTCATCATGTGGCCAAAATACTTCATCTTTGCCTCTAATATCCTTCCCTCCAATGAGCAGTCAGGCATTATTTCCTGGAGGATGGACTTGTTTGATCTTCTTGCGGTCCAAGGCACTCTCAGAATTTTCCTCCAGCACAATAGTTCAAAAGCGTCTATCTTCCTTTGCTCAGCCTTCCTTAAGGCCCAGGTCTCACATCCATAGGTTGCTACGGGGAATACCATTGCTTTAACTATGTGGATCTTTGTTGCCAGTGTGATGTCTCTACTCTTCACTATTTTATTGAGATCAGTCATTGCTCTCCTCCCAAGAAGTAATTCTGATTTCCTGGTTGCAGTCTACGTCTGCAATAATCTTCGCGCCTAGGAATACAAAATCTGTCACTGCCTCCATGTTTCTCCCTTTATTTACCAGTTTATTTAGTTTAGGTTAGCCCACCCAAAAGGAAACTTGCATCACTCAAATTTAAATGGTTTGCATGAAATCTGCATATGCCAATTTATATGTAGGCATGCTACTTTAGAAATATTAGTATAAAGTCAGCCAACAAAGTGCCTGATGACTCTGGGCCAGTTTCAAAGCTTCTGCTGTCCTTACAATTTGCTTTAAATTTGACTTAACTGGATAGGAAATAATAGAATAAAGATCTTCTGATAGCCCTTATAGTTGTTTTGTTCTTTCATTTGTCTCATGGTGACCATACTATGGGGTTTTCTTGGCAATATCTGCTCAGAGGGAGTTTGCCATTGCTTTCTGCTGAGGCTGAAATCAGTAAAAACCTGAGCTAGATGAACAGCTGATTGATTGAAAAAGAAAAAAAACAATTGTGGACAATGTGGAACCAGGAGTAAATGAATATCCTCTAACTGTAAAAAGAAATAGAAGTATGGGAAAGTGACCTGTGCAATAGCATCTTGGAGCCTTATTTTCAACTTCCCCCTCCTGAAATTTATCCTTTCATGATTATTTTTTTTTGTAAACTGAACCATTAAGCATTGATGTAGAGCTATCATCTCAGTTGTGTAGATCTGCTTAATACTTATAAAGGCCCATTGTGAAGTACAAACTGAAACAATACACAATATACGTGATTAATAAAAATAAAAAGGAAAGAAAATGTTTCTTACATTAAATATGAACAAAACTCATGAAAGAGAATAAATGTTTTCAAGTTGTGTAAGGTTTCAGCACGCTCACTAAAGTGGAATAGATCAATTTCATGCATTTGTGCAAGGAACTTCAAGGATTTCACTTCATTTTTCTTGGCTGCTAAAGGCATTTTTGACCATATACTGCACACTCCTTGTTTTATTGACTGTTGAGAAGTGTCAGAGTGAAGTCTAGAACTTAAGATGATTCCATGCATCAATTTTTCAAAAATCAAAAGACAATGTCCCCTCTTAAATTTACATTTCTACAAGTTACTGATGTGTTGTATCATTTCTATTTTTGTAAAGTGCTGGTTGTTTATATTTGTTAGTGAGCTGGAGCCTAACTTCTTTTCTCATAATGGAATGAAGTCTTCTGCCAGAAAGAATGTTTGGATACAAACCACTAACCGCTCTGGAACACAGACTCATAGTAAAAGTGGAGAAAGAAAATTAGAAAATGAAAATAGATAAAACAAAGCAAGTTAATGAAAGTCATTTTAGATTGGTTTAAGTTCTGGCTGAAAAATACCTTGTTGTACCCAAGATCTGAATAACACTAGGACTATGGCAAATACCTTAAAAACTTTCATATTTAAAGAGCAATTGCTCTATGCCCTAATGCTGCTAAAATTGGATTGTATAGATAACATTTTTGTGCCTGTAAATGTGAAATATTTGGATGTTATACATTGGTATATATGGAAATTGAAAGATCACAGAACACGGAATTGGCCTTTATAGTCACCCATCAGAATTACTATACTAGTGTGGATGCTCTAGTTACAGATGCAATCTAAATACAGGAACCTCGTCCAATAAATGTCTTACCACTCTGTTGCATATGGACAGTATAAAGTGTCATTATTGTAACACTATACATAGTCATCTCTTACATCTGTTATGCCATTGATCTGCAGTCTTAACAAATTCTACAAAATAGTTAAGACTAAGTTGTGTGTTTTCCGGCCTGTATGGCTATGTTCCAGAAGCATTCTCTCTTGACTTTTCGCCCACATCTAGGGCAGGCATCCTCAGAGGTTGTGAGGTCTGTTGGAAACTAGGCAACTGAATGGCCATTCAATGCTAAACAAGGTGGCCAATTGCAATACTCACATCTGCCTCCATCAGACAAAAGTTCTTTCTCCCACCCTGGGCATTTCACCGATATATAAACATTGCTTGCCTAGTTTCCAACAGACCTCACAACCTCTGAGGATGCCTGCCATAGATGTGGGTAAAATGTCAGGAGAGAATGCTTCTGGAACATGGCCATACAGCGTGGAACGTCACAAAACCCAATGATTTCGACCATGAAAGCCTCTGACAACAGTTACACTGAGTTTAAGAAAAAATTCCACTTATTAAGTAGCCTAATGTTCCAAATGTCTAAATTTCTAGTCCTCACTGAATTATAGGAGAATAAGGTGGGCACAGCACCGATTTATCGAAGTATTATAGGAAAGGATATATTGAGAGGATGACACTAGTGTTTTAAAATGTTAGTTAAATAACGTACAAAAAATTTCAAACAATGTAAAAAAAAGCCTGGAAAGGAATCAAGATTAAACTAACGAGGGCCTTAAGGTCTAGAGGTTAAGCAGCGTCAATCCTGGTTAGCACTTGGATGGGAGACCGTCAATGAATACCAAATGATGTTAGAAAGGAATTGGCAAAACCTCCTCTGAATATCCAGCGTCTAAGGAAAACCCTATGCAATCCATGCAGTCGCTGTGAGTCGACAGGCAACCTGAAGGCACCTAAACATAATATGGAAATTTATTTCAGCTTTTTTTCTTCTTTGTATATGTGCAAAGAGAAATGGAAGAGGGGGTAATATGTCAATTTGAAGCCTTGATGATATTGAACTTACTGTTTCTATTCTTGGAGATACCATCTCTTAACACATAGATCACACAAGAAATTCACAGATACATACGGTGACTCAAAAGAGACTTGGAAAAACATAGCATATCCAGTAAGATGCTTTTCAGTTTTAACAAAACTGCAAAAATCCCTTTAATACAAAATGTATTAGCAGTTTGTTTTAGTTATTCTAAAAACTTTTTTTAAAATATGCCAGGCATCTCTCTTATTGAAGATTTCTGGCCCCTCCCCTCCTAATATATATATTTATATTAAAAAAAAACTTATACAGAACCGGATGGTAATCATTCTTTTATTACACATTTGTGTGATAAAGTTGATATTTGGAGATCATGCACAATAATGTCACAGTTATCGTTACAGCAGTATAATGAATAATGATTTTTAAACCTAGGTTTCCTGGCTTTGTACACAGTATTTGTTTCATTTGTTTTATTTAAACTGAGTATTTGCTGTCTTTCTTCAGCTACAAAAAGTGTAATATACCACATTAAACTAACATCTGAAAATTGGCACAAATGGCAATCTTTGTCTGATTTCCAGGAAGACTCCAGTATTTATTACAATATATCACTGGATAGAAATAATATATTAAATATGACATTTTATCACTCTAAGAAAGTAGTCAGAAATGGAAAAAGAACACCCAATCTAAATTGTTGCAGGATATGTCATGTTTAGACAAAGACTTTTCAAAATGGGAAAGCATTATATAAAGTTCAAGTTATTAACTTATCAAGTTATTAACTCTGACAAGTTCTCTTAAATTGAAAACATGGGAAACAGAAGTCAGCTTTTAATGCCAATTTCATGGTATAAATCTCCATCAGCCACAGTAGTTTTTTAAAACAATGCAGGCAGACATAGGGTCAATTCTCATATGTATTAGTGGCAAAATGCTGTATTCTCCATTTACATTTAGTAAAAAGAATCTGTTTGGGGTGTGATCCACAGTTTGTGCTGCACTGCATAACACTGCTCAGTGTTTCATTTACACTACTGAAATACCTCTTTACATCTGGGAAAATGCTAACTCTGTGGCCATATTGGTTTTGGGTAAGATACTACAGCCAGGAGGAACTGCTTCAACCCTTCTTGTCAAGATGAGAACTATAACATCTATATGTCCTCACTTAAGAAAACATGTTGAGGCTTGCAAGTCACAAGAAGCTTATTCCAATTAACTAAAGTTTATTGGGGATGAGCAGGTCTCCTGGCCTCCGTTGCTTGATCCAGCTTGCTTGCTGCCTGAATATTCCTACTTGTACAGCCATTACATCCATGAGGTTTTTTTAGCATGATATTTGAACTTGGCAGGAACCATTTATTTGGTTTGTTCTTCCCCCAACAAACCAGGTAAATAACTGTTCAAAATGCCAAAGGCTATTCCTCTGACTTATTGGAAGAAAGCCAATAAGAATGCTGGCACCTATTGGTTCAGGCATCATGTTCAACCAGAAGTCAGTAGTTTAGTTGCTGTTACTAGAAGAGGTAGCACTAGGAGCCGGCACACTACTCAAAATTGATAAGCCAGCTTTCCCATGAGATTCTGATGCCCTATGATGTCCAAACTTGCCCTATGTCGTTGTAGTTGCTCACTTATCACTGATTGTGCTGAGGACAAATGCAGATCAACAACATGTACATGTACATGTGGATTGGCTGTTAACATATTTGTCATAATCAAATTAATTTATTAATCATTCTCATATTTCTGTTTTGTATATTTATTAATATGCCTGGTGATTTAGCAAGAGGAGGGCAGAGAGGATGGACAAACATAAAAAACATCAAATCAAATAATCTCTCCTAATGTTAAATAGTATAATATTTTTATTAATGCAAAAAAATATATAACCAAAGCTGACCCAATTCCTACTATCACCAAACAAGGTAGTGGAACTTTTCCCACAAAGCCAAACCACATGTACCAATTAGTACTAATTTTGTACTGCTTTTGACCCATAATATCTCAGGAAAACAATGGGAGGTGTAACAGACTCATGATAAAAGTTAGCTACACAAAATACCAACTGAAATTTTATGTGTGCAGGGCCTTTATCTTTTGAACAAGTAAACTGTGTAAAGCATTCATTTTTTTCTAATTCACACTGAAAATAAATTTTAGAGATATGTATAAAGAAACCCACTTAGACACTATTATAACTCTGAAAACTATATTTTAACTGAAAAATACAAACACTGTATTCAAAGCACAACAAATATGTGCATATTAAATAAAGAAATGAGCAATTCAATCACTACATATATATACAAATAAGTGCTTATGCTTACAAAGAACATACTTGCTCAAAGTCTCATATTAATTGCTAACTTCAGAAGAAAGTTAGACATGAGGATAAATGTTTAATTCATGCTAGATATAGGCACATAAGGTCTACTTCTCAAAAACAGATGAGATGGTAAACCTGTATCTGGATGATATCACCTTTTTTTGCATGGAGGAGTATTCAATCATGTGAATGATCTATACCTTCAAACAAAATCCTGGAAAGGAAAAAAAATCCCTGACTGGTCCTTTTCCTGACATGCCCATTTTCTGCATGTAGTAACTGACATATTTTATCACATAATAGTAGTGACTGCATAGAAGGTGCACCCCCATTTTTTGGGTGGCAAAATTGGTACTTTTGGTACCAATTTGGTACTTTTGGTACTCGCATAATAGTCACACCTTGCCCCTTGGAGCTATGGGGTTCCTTCAGCTACGAGCTGAAGAAACCCCCATAGCTGCAAGTGGTGCAGGTGAGTAAAGCCTCTTTTGCTCGTGCACCTGCACTTTTTTCACCATGTAAGAGTGGGGGGGAGGTGACTATTATGCGATGAAATATGGTATGTTAATAAGGAGACGCAGTCCAACATGTGAATCCCAGCTGTAGGATTAAGAAGCAGTGTCTAGGCACCAGTTTACTTATTTGCATGAACATCAAAATCTTTACCTGATAGGAAAATAAAATAAATTTTGAACTGGATATTCAAATGTCATTGCCTATTTTAAAATAAGATTGTAACAAAATGGTCTAAGTGTGTTTCATCTAAGTATCAAAATATATGGCATCAGTATATCCATTTTCCTTTAAATTGGCTAAATACAAATTAAAGTAGTTCAGATGCAATGCAAATTAAACTAGTCCTGCATTACATAAAACACTAACATCAGAATTTGAAGTGGGGAAGTGTCAGTGCACACAGATACAGTCATTTCAATAAATCTGCCTATACATAAGTGTCAGTGATTGGCTTGGGAGCCAGTGTCACAAGGAATAAGATTTAGATTCTGGCCTCTGATACACCAACGATTTCTTTCTTGTTGTTGTTGTGATTATAAGGATGAATACAAAAATCCATGCAGAACTATTTTTCAGGAAATGATACAATAAAACAATTCAGTACTAAGGAGAAGAACTAAAATATTTAAATAAAACAAGTGCCAATTTATTTAAAGGCCAGAAACATTTATTGTTTTTGAACTGGACTGACTGTAATTAATTTGCTTGAGCAAAACTCCAAAATTAAATAACCCACCATGTCCATCTTAAATAAGCCACAGTACTGAATTTCTTCATATTCCAAAGATGTTTCAAGGCAAATGCGTCCTTGTAATTTCAGAGTCAGAAAGTCCATCTTCTTGAAGAGAGGGCTCATAATCAGCAGCGTTATTTGCCAAATCAACATCTGGTTCATCATTGCTCTCTGCACTATAATCCACTTCTTCAAGGAAGCGAGGTTCATCTTCGTCCAAAACATATGTAGTAGGGCTATAGCGACAATGCCAAAGAGAAAGCTGTTAACTCTAATATCTCAAATAAGACAATCAATAGATTATGGGAAATAGGAAATTCCTCTCACCTATTAAAAGCCAAGATGTCTAAGAAAGGAAAATTCTACCAATTCCTATGCAAGCGGAATCACTGGTTGCTGTCCATTTGCACTTAGTAAAACACAACATTAATTTTTATTCACACTGATCTTAAGAAATATCAAACAATATTGTTAAAACTTGCCTCTGAACAAAATCTAGTCTTTAAAATTAATTCACATCTAATATTTCAAGTGTAATTTCATTTGAAAATGTTAAAAGGATTTTAAAACAAAGACCTATGTATATCCTGCATAAAATCTGTTGCTTCAAATAGAAGATTGGATTCATATTTTTAGATTAGGGTCTAAATTATGTATACAGTATCTCCAGCTACTTGATGCAGAGCATTTCATATGTGCAAATCTCTAGAGCAGCGTTTCTCAACCTGGGGGCTGGGACCCCTGGGGGGAGGTCACGAGGAGGTGTCAGAGGGGTCACCAAAGACCATCAGAAAACACAGTATTTTCTGTTGCTCATGGAGATTCTGTGTGGGAAGTTTGGCCCAATTCAAATGTTGGTGGGGTTCAGAATGCTCTTTGATTGTAGTTGAACTATAAATCCCAGCAATGACAACTCCCAAATGTCAAGGTATATTTTCCTTAAACTCCACCAGTGCTCACATTTGGGCATATTGAGTATCCATGCCAAGTTTGGTCCAGATCCATCATTGTTTGAGTCCACAGTGCTCTCTGGATGTATGTGAACTATAACTCCAAAACTCAAGGTCAATGCCCATCAAGCCCTTCCATTATTTTTTGTTGATCATGGGAGTTCTGTCTGCCAAGTTTGGTTCAATTCCATTGTTGGTGGAGTTCAGAATGCTCTTTGATTGTAGATGAACTATAAATCCCAGCAACTCCAAAATGACAAAATCAATCCCCCTTCCCCAACCCTACCAGTATTCAAATTTGGGAGTATTGGGTATTTGTGACAAATTTGGTCCAGTGAATGAAAATACATCCTGCATATCAGATATTCACATTACGATTCATAACAGTAGCAAAATTACAGTTATGAAGTAGCAACAAAAATAATTTTATGTTTGAGGTCACCACAACATGAAGACCTGTATTAAGGGGTTGCAGCATTAGGAAGGTTGGGAAACACTGCTCTAGAGCTTAGGATGTGTAATAGATTTCATATTCATCTTTAGGGATCCAAATGAGAATGTTTCATATCACTGTTATTTGTTATATTTGTTACCGTACATTTCTTTAGATGTTCACTTGCTAGATAATTTGTATATTGCTATCGCTATGTCATGCAAAGAAACTACCAGCATAAAAAATAAAAGACACATTATTTTACTACCTTGTTACTTTACAACTGGATTCAATCAGTTCATTTTCAATGTCAAAGAGAGTAGATGGCAGGTTGTACTCCAGTGGCGATGTTAATCTTTTCAAACGCAATAAGCCAGAACAGAACTTAGCTCCCATTTCTTCTAGTTCGTGTGTCCCAATCTGTAACCCCTAGTTAGGGAATAATATATATACTGAGAAGGCTGTTTAAAGGAATCATATGCAATATAATGTATGAATTGAAATACAGACTCCTGATGCAATGTGTGTTTGGGAAATACAGACTCCACTTTTGTGTGAATCACAGATAATATGAAGAATCAATAACTCTTTAAACTGTCTAAGATACTAGTATTATGCAGTCATATCTCCTCCACCTGTTCAAATGACAAACAGAGGGGGAGATGGGATGGATGCATCAATTTTGTTACTAATGGCTCCATTCATTCCACATACATTTTGACTCTCCTTCACAGACAAATAAGGACTGGAAAGTGATGCCTGTGCTTGGATTAAAGGCACACAGAATCCTCTTTAATACAGTCAACTCAAAAGAATGACACAGCAAACAAGGTCTTGCTTTTTGCTCCACACATTCAGGAGTAGATGAGGAGAATAATACCTTCATTGGGCTAATATTCCCATACAAACTACCTGCCTTTAAAATGGGTTTCAACTATGTGAATTTTTATTTTTAAAAAGAAGTTGCAGGGCCCCAATCTGAAATGTGCCCCTGTTCCAAGATTTGGGACCTTTCTACAGAAATTCACCTTCCATTGAGGGGCTTTTTACTGTGAACAATAGTTTGGGGAAAAAGGCAACTGTACGGAGCATCACTTTTGGCAGAAAATTAGCATAGGGTCATGAACTGAACAAAAACATCTACCTATTCTAGAGGGGTAGACTAAAAAATATGTTTTTATTGAAATGTACAGTTGCACCTTTGGTCAAATACAGTATGACCCCTTATCCAAAGTTTCACTTATCCTTATATATAGGCAACAGGGGGTGGATCCTCCAAGTAAAGCATGCTTCTTAAAAATGTTTACTGAAATGTATAGTTGCATCTTTGCGTACAGTACGACTCCCTTATCCAATGTTTCACTTCACACTCCAAAAATATTTCTCCTTTCCTTGGAATAATTTGTGGGTCTTTCTAGGCCCTCCAGTGTGATTTTATGTTATGCCTCCCCCCCCCCCCCCCCGCACACACACCTGCACAGATGTGGAGGTCATATCATACACTCAGACTTGTTTGTTACCTTGTACTTCCCCTGATCACATCCACATAATGTACTTTCCATGGTGTAACTCCTTTGAACGCCTATCTCTCTCCAAACAACTACACGTGCTGTGGACTCCTTAGACTTTTCCACAACAAAACTGCAGCTGCTCATGCAGAATGCTGGGGCTGTCTGACTCAGAATCTTAGGAAGAGTCTACAGGAAAGAAGCATTTTAAACGTAGTTTGAAACAATTTTATAACATTAAGAAGGTTAATTATTATAATTAGAACACTTATTTTAAGTGTATGTAAAGTTCTCTGGAGTTTGCCCAATGTATGTTTTACATGCAAAAAACAAATAGACTGATAAAAAAAGAGAAAGGGAGAAAAAGGTAGTAGAAAAAGCCATCTACACCTTCTATGATGACTGGTACAAAATCAGCAATAATTATTATTCCACTACAGGCCACCTCATCACACATACTTCTTAATATACTTTGCCCAAGAAGTCTATTTCAAGAACGCTTTCTTCCCCCGTTTTTCCAATAATGACGTATAGAAACATCAACTATTTTAAAAACGTAATCTTTTTTTTTTTTACTGCTCTTGCCATTCCATCTGCCATTTCAATCAGCTAGAGTAAGTAAAAGTTAGGTAAATCTAGTAATCTGAACTAAAGAGATGTAGGAAAATCCAACACATGGATAATAACACCATAATATTTGTGGCACTTTACCAGATTTAGTGCATTTATTCCTGATGGGATGGCTGCAAATCATTCTCATGCATACATATTTATGAATTATCAATATATTTATTTACTAAAATGTGTTAGTTATGTTACTGTTGTGTGCCTTCAAGTTGTTTCTGAATTATGGCAATGCTAAGGTGACCCTATTACAGGGTTTTCTTTGCAAGAATTGTTCAGAGAGGCTTATAATTTTATCAGAGACTGAAAGAATATGATTTGTCCAAGTAGGGATTCAAAACCTGTTCTCCATAATCATATTCCATTGCTCAAACTACTACATTATTTTGATTCTCATCAATCTCAGCTAGATGTCCCTGAACAGAATTGCTTCTTCTATTTATGGAATAAAGCAAGTTCCTGTACTATGTCCTCTGCTGGGGGAAAGAAGAAAATGATTATTTTAACATTCTTCCTGCCATGTAGCTTCCTTTCTGTTCCAATTTGTGACACTTTTGCTGGTGGGAGTGTCTTATGAGCATAAAATTACTTCTTCTGGTGGCAAGAAATTCCATTTTTAGTGGACAAAGAACAAGATTTGGAGTGAGAAAGCAAGACTGCTACTCAACAAGCCTAGTCTGCATTGTCCATTGACAATTATAAGGAACGCTGGGAACCACTGTACAACAACATTTGGAGGATTGCACTTTGCCCACTTAATGAAGCATAGTACAATAGAGTCTCACTTATCTAACACAAATGGGCTGGCAGAACATTGGATAAGTGAAAATGTTGGATAATAAGGAGGGATTAAGGAAAAGCCTATTAAATGTAAAATTAATGTAAAAGCACTAAAACATTATGTTTTACAACAAATTGACATAAAAAGCAGTTCAATACACTGTAACATTATGTAGCAATTACTGTATTTACAAATTTAGCAGCAAAACATTGCAATGTATTGAAACAGTTGTGGATCCAGGTGGGAGGCAGACTGCATTGGATAATACAGGACACGTTGGATGAGCAAAGGTTGGATAAGCGAGACACTATTCTATTAGCAAATTGATGAGAATTGTGATGCCTTCTGTATAGGAACTGAATAAAGAAGAAAAGGATGGAAATAATCCAGCAGGAAGATACACTTGTCTAAACAGGTTTAAAATATTACAGCAAAGGGATCAAATTATTTCTTCTGATAACAGTTGAAGTTTGCTTTGCACATTTTTAATGAAATAGATTTGTCTTTCATTGCATGCAAAATTAGAGGTGGAACTTATATTCAGTCATAAAATTCAGGGCATTTTATATTGTGTGCTTAATGTTGTCACAAGAGGGCAGTGCACAGGGAGAATTCTAACCCATCTATAAGAATGGAAGTAGTAGAAAATAATGATAGGATTTTTTATACTAAAATTTTACAAAAGTACTACTGACTGGCAACTTATAATTTAATGACCACCATTTAATAGTTATACTAAAAATTAAACAGGAAATAAAAGTTTGCTATGTCCTTGTATTGATTAAATATAACTCACCCGATAGCCAAGGTCTTCAACCAGTTCACAAGAGGCAGCACTAGTATGCCACATTGTTTCCTTGATGCTGCAGCCATACATGAATACATTTTTCTTACGAGAATGACCATGATAATCACAAAAAACCTACCAAAATTAAAAAGAGAGAGAGAGAGAGGAAACCTTACATACATCAGAAATGGAGATTAGGTTTTTCCATATTCCAGCTCATCAGCTCACAGTTGTATGTTCAATGTCTGTGTAGCTTTTTCTTATTTGAGCTATACATTAGCTTCAACAGGATGTTACATGTCTGACTAAGATGTGACAATACAATGTACCATAATTTATCTGCTTAGGAAAAAAGTGCATGTTCGTTTTCGAGAAAGATATCTTTCTCCTCAGTTTCTTCTGATTTTAGAACTTGTTTTATCAAACTGAGCCTATTACACGTGTAATTGCTCAAAATATGAAGTGCAATTTAGTGAGAGATGGAAACATAATAATAGATGTGATGGGCATAAAACTGTAAACTTTTGTAAAAAAAATATTTCACATAACAATAGGATCTTCAAGAAATAAACTCTGAAGAATAAAATGTATTAACACTAAATATTTTCCAAGTGCTCCAAACATGTTGTTTTAAAAAGAAAAGCACAAAAAACTTTGTTTCTTAAAAAAAGAAAATGAGTGCAGGGATAAATTTGACCTGGCAAACAGAGGCATCTCTTTGTTTACTTATTTGACCATTCACACATGAGGTGCCAATGCTAATATCAAAAAGAATGGCTAAGTCAAGGGAAATAATTCACTATCCAAATTCCATGCTTTCCCAGCAAAACTGCAACAGCAGCTGAAACTGTCACAAGAGGGCAGTTCATAAGAAGATCCTTAATTACTCAACAGAAGCAAATGAATCATTCTTATATTTCAATGTCATAATACAGCATTATCTAAAACAATCTAATTCTTTCTTCATAGGAATTACATATTTCTGTGGCTCCAATATATTGATCATATTGGCATTTTTACAATATTATTTGCAAGGTTAACATGTAGATACTTCTGGAAAGATTTGTATTATATTTAAACACACAAAGATCTATTAAATGTGTACACCTTAATTTGTGCAAAGTAATGGCATTTTTATACAAAGACAGCACTTGTTTAGTTGAATTAAACTCTGTAAAGATACACAGACACTTACCAGTGGCAAACGTTTAATAGCGGCCAAATACTGGAGCAGGCCTTTGGCATGATAAATTGTAGGATGCAGATCTAGGTTTGGGTTTTGCCACTGCCTATTCAAGTCTTCCCCACTTAAAGAACAACGATGGCTGCAAGGGAAATATAATTTTAGCAAGGCCGTGTTTTATCAATAATAATAATAATAATAATAATAATAATAATAATAATAATAATACTTTATTTATACCCCACCCTCTCTCCCCAGAGGGACCCAGGGTGGTTTCCAAAGTATAACAAAAATGGCAAACATTTAATGCCAGGAGCAAATAAACAACAGTCATAACAAAACATGAAATAAAATAAACTAAATATAACTTATACATAACAGAACTTAAAGCAAGGATAAGATAAATACCAGTTAAAACACAATACATTAAAACAAGAAAAGCTTAATGAATAAACATTTTTTCTCCACAAGTAATATTATTTAGGTTCATTATTTTTGTAGCCATTAAAAGTTCCACTGCAATCTTCTTATGAAAAACAAACATCTTTAAGTCTTCTATTTAGCTGTCAAATTTTAAAAAATATGCTAAAATGAAGTAAAATGTTAAAAAGACATAGTTTACAACAATCTGATTTTCAACTGCCCTAGAAGAACAATAAATCCCCTGGTCAACTTTTGGGCTGTAAGCAGGTATGGATGATTTTATTCTCCAAAAGTCACCGATTCCTAGTTTTGTCCCACATTCATGTTATTGTGGCCAAGATTTTTCATTACAGGCAGTCCTTGAGTTACAAACATCAGACTTACATACAACTCATACTTAAGAATGGGGGTGTGACAATGGGAAGTAAGAAGAAATCTACTCTGAGGAAGGGAAATTCACTCCTCAAAAACTTATCAGGGGGAAAAGGTGTCTCCACTCTCCACTGAAACTTTATCACCAATCCTTGTTTCCACAACAAGCCAAAATGTTCAAAATGCAATTGTCATAGGGAGAGAAAGTGGAACTAAAGTCTTCCGAACAGTAGCACAAACAACAAAATAAATGTTACAGTTGTATTAACCCTTCCCTATGTTATCCAAAGCTTATATATACATATTATATATACATATATATGCACATACCTATTTGGCTGGAGTTACACTTAAAAATGTACCTGTTCCGACACATACAAATTCAGCTTAAGAACAAACCTACAGAACTTATCTTGTTTGTAAATTGAGGACGGCCTGTATAGTTGAAGTTTAAGAATATGCTCATATGTTGCAGTGAAAAATGCTCAACAGATTTGGACAGCCTTATTTTAATTATTATGTGAGTGGGTTGGTGCCAAATTTAGTTAATGTGTACCCCCTACAAAATCAATGAAACCCGTTTCTAAGATAATAGCTTATTCTTTTCAATGGGTCTGTTCTAAACACAACCAAGCTTAGATATAACCTATACTTTTTATTCTACCAAGCACACAGGCATTCCCTAAAATATGGAATTGGCAATGATTTCTGTTTCTTAAAACCCCATTTAACATACAATATTCTCAAGCAAGTCTTGGAACACTGAGCGCACTGATTCATATCACAATAAACTTTAAAGTTTATTTTAAAGGAAGTTCAGCAGATTAGATGCACAAAAATACTTCTCCACAAATAGAAAATTCCAAACATAACATTTTAAGCAGAGTTGGCAAATCATCTTAACGTAAATCATGGAACCACAAGAGATAGCAAGTTGTTCAATCTACATAAAATGATAAGCAAAATAAATAAAACTGTGACTTTGATCAGGATGAGGAAGGCAATCTAAGTTAAAGAAGTCTCACAACTGAGGTCTGGGAGTGTTCACATAGTACTGCTGTGGCTTTCATTTAAAAGCTTACTTTCCATTGATGACCCCATCAGGATTAAGCATGGGTACAATTTTAAAAATATAGGATTCTCGTAAATTCTGGGCAGCAGGAGTATTACTCATGAGATATTCCAATGTTCCCTTCATAACCCAGCTTGAATTAGTCTCTCCAGGATGTACACGAGCAGATAAGAAAATATAAGGGCGGTTTCCTAGAATGAGCAGAAACAAAACAACACGGTACAACAAATCAGTTTTCACAGCAATCTTCTTATTAACAAGTCATAAATAAGAAATTTAATATGAAACATGACTTTGTCACCACGTTATTAACACAGCAATTTGGTTTCTGAATACCGAAACAGTGAGCTTGATTCCCCCAAAGCCTTTTAACAGAGTGATTTTAGAAAAACTAGAAGCTGCTTTGAGTCCCAGCTTTAGGGGGAAAGAATAAAGTAATGGATAGAGAGGAATCTGTATCTGTTTACTATGCCTTGTCAACTGATTGTTGCTACAGCAAAATGTAGCTGGGTTTTCCCTTTTAACTTCCCCTCTCACTGACACCAAACGAGGAATGATCAGGACAGGTTCAGTCTCTAGCTTTGAAAGGAAAGGTATCAAGGCACTAGCTTGACCCCATCGATCCTAAGCCAACCACAGAATAGCCACCAGAACATCAGCAACATACAAATAGGACACCTTTTCCCACATGCAGTGAGAGAGGGTTGAACAATGTGAAGAAACTCCATGATACATAATACCCCTGGTATGCCTTCCCAGGAACCACAGGAATGCAATCTAGTTGTCTCATCAAATAAAAGCCCCCACAATTCTTACCCACTGAAATCAATGAGACTTAAATACTTGCGCACCTTATATTTTATTGAGTAAACATACACAACTCTGTGTATACGCACAATCACATGACTGAAATAATGTACCTACGATCACAGGAGAACCAAAAAATGTTGTTTTTTTCATTTGCTGTTATTTGAATAGAGTCTCAGCAAAGGAGAGGAAAAGCTTATACTTACTGAACTGACAAATATGTTCATAGTAATTTGATTCTGGCATGGCGGTTATAGTTACTATAGGACAGCTGTTTCCTGAGAGGGTCTCACACAAGGTGTCTTGTCGAAAATAAATCTGCTGAGGATTGTGTGTCGATTCCAATTTTTGGAGATGCATCTTCATCACAAAGAGAAGGAGACTGTAAATCTATGTCCGTGGCTTGATTCATCTTTTACTTGTAGCTCAGCACGTTGCATTTATAGACTTTATAAATAATGAATTATTAACAACTATTTTAAAATATTGAGTAGTATTCTTTCAGTGACTAATTCTAATCTTGTCTCCATATATTGTTTTGTACTGTCTTTCATATTTTCTTTGTTGCATGTAATCAATAGGATTCCCAGAGACTGGGAAATCCAGTGCCTGACATCAGGCAAGTCATTCATTCTGATCCTTAGAGGAGGATTATGGCAAACAACAACTGGATAAATCTTGCCAAGAAATCTCTACGATAGAGTTGTCACAAGTAGAAGTAAATGCAAAGGCACATAACAATAAGAACAATTATTATTTTAAGTATTTATGTAATCACTAGCTTGCCTCTCTGCTCCAAAAGATGTTCAAGGCAGTTAACAATACAAGATTATATTATTTAGAGTAAAATATTTTAATGGCAGTTTTCCTGAATAAAAATTATCAATAAATATAAAAATAAAATATTAGTTAAAATACAACATAAAGGTCAATCAACTAAAAACATAATAATGTTGGATAACATTGGTTGAATATTATAAAATATTGTTTGGATTGGCAGTTTTAAGAATAGAAGAGTTCCTCCAGGTCAGAACACCTACTGAGATCCACAAAAGGCAAGTTTTGCTGACCACTCTTCCTCTTGTAGCTCTCCACTGCACTGATGGACCTAGAGATTCTTAGAGAGGTGTTCTTTCTAGGAATTTCTAAGTCCCCCAGCTTGCCTCTATAATCAACCTTTGATGGAAGTAGACTGTAGAGCCATACTGGAGGACAAAGAGATTCCTAGACAAAATATTTTAATCAAACCCGGGAATAATCAAATCTATAAAAGTCAAATCTGAGATGTAGAGGGTCAGCTATAATTATTTTCTAAATGTTAAAACGTACTTGTGATATATATCAAATTACATGATCACTTGTCCCCAAAATAAATTCTGCATAGAAAAAAGTTATCATGAATGTATCCAAGTGAAAATCAACCTACCATTAAAGCAGAGTAAGTATATGGATAATGATATGCAAAGTAACAAACATCATCCTTATGTTGAAAGTTGATTGTGAAGGTAATTGTATAGTAGGATTTTCCTTTCTGGCCTCCTGCTGCAATTGAACTTCTTGAAAAGTGATTCCTAGAAACAATAAGTCAACTTTAGTTGAAATATATAATGATAATTAATTCTACCAGTGCATGTAAATAAACTATTCTTCCAATATTACTTCTAGTACCAATTAATAAAGATTAAGGGTTGGGTTTTTTTTAGTTTTGGCAGAATGGGCTTTTGCAATATGCATTTAAGTAGGAAGAGGAGACGTCATCCTCCCTTATTATGGATGCTACAATTCTGCCAGTGGGTACCTAATGCTGCATCTAGCCCCCTGTCAGTATATATCAAGTTAAAAGTCCAGTGTATTAATTTAATATTTGATGTAAATATTGCTAAACGTACTTGTAGTAACAAATGTCTGTTCCCACACGAATCCACCAAGGTCGTCCACTTAGAGCCTCTTGAACAGAGTACATGAGGGGCTGCATACCTTCCATAAAAATATATTATTAGACACACTGTATATGTCCAGCAAAGAAATGTACAATGTACTAGGATACACCATCACTTTGATTCCTGATATTATTAATGAATTCAACAGTTCATAGTTTCAAGATTATTCTGAATTGTTTCCAACTTTATATATAATAAGCAGTAGCTGCATTTGTGTGTCATATTTCTGACTGTTAAAAGCCATGAGGATAACAAACGATTAGCACTGAACATAGCTATTGGGAGCATGGTATGATTTGGAGGACCGAGAAGGAGCCTTTCTTGACTCTTTCTGCTTTCTCTTGTCCACTCAGCTGCACAAGCCACAGTTTACATTGCAGGATATTGTGGCTTGAGTGAGCCTGCTAAACGAGGATTGCAAACTGGGATTAGACCAGGGTTTGTAATACCTGTTTGTAGCATCTGATTAAACCAGTTTGTCATGACATCCAAACTGATGATCCATTAAGCCAAGCACTTGAAGGAAGGTGAGGGGACACACATGCACAAAACTGATATCAAACCTTTAAAGCAGAGTAGGGAGATATACAAGGTGCATATGGTTCCCAGGTCACTGGCCAACAGTCCCCCAAATCACCCTGCCAAAGTTCTGGGGAAACTACATCACTAAATTTCAGCAGTAAACTGGATATTCCCCTTTAAAACTAAAAGGAAATGCCACTTTTCAGGTTGAGGAAACTTGATGAAATTAGGGGCAAACCTGCGAAGTGTCATCATTAATAGCATTTCCCCTTCACAGCCAAATTTTGGCACTACAGTATTAGTAGAGAAGTAGCTGGAAGGATAACGGTGATACTGGAATGCCATCAACAGGTTTCTATGTCAGATTTTATATTCTCCTAAAAAAACTGCTTAAAACATTGTATCACTCTAGTTGTATCTCAGTCCGTTTTGTTTTATATCAGCACATTTTGCTATACTCCCTCTGATATACTGTAATCATCTTTGTGTTATGTAATTACTGTAGTTATTAGTACTGGTAGGCCAACAATCAAAATTCAAAGTGGCTAGTGCAAATTCTAGTTATTTAAGCAGGCTTTGTTACCTACTCATTTTATATATGGCAAACTGTGCATGATGGTCACAGTGGTGGTAGGCAATCCCCACATTTTGATAAAATGTCCTGTTTTTCATACAAGAAAGAGAGGAATAAAGAGTTAAGTTTGCTGCCTTCAGTTCCTATACTTTTTCTGTTCCTTACTGACTTGAGGGACTCCTAAAGAATGCAGTTACAGAAACCACTAGAAAAAGGCTGTTGCTTGTTAAAGGGTGACAAATCCTATTCCACACAATTTTCTCTGGCAATTCTTCGTGGGATTGGGATCTAAAAGCTTTCAATGTTTTTTTCCCTTGTGATTTTGGGGGGGTTGGGGTTAAGAATTCGTAATACTGAAAGATCCCTCACACTTTCTAAGTTATTTCTTTGTATATGAAAGATAAATATGTCTTACCATAATTAAACTGACTGTTTGTCTTTTCACAGTTGATTATATTAAATCGGTAAGCAATGCCTGTCCGCATTCCACTGACTTCAAAATAAAACCACTGATGATAATGATTGCTGTTTATATCAGAGTTCAGAATAAGATCATATTCATTTCTAGAAATGAGCAGAAAGAAGTAATTAAAATTAACATAATCTAAAGTTCAATGATGGCATAAAAATAACAAAAATATCTTACTTTCTGATCTGAATAACTTTCCGTAAATTTCCTGATTCAAATTTGGAGTTGAACTTCAAGACATCTCCTTCATCTGGTATTGGATAACTAAAAGGATAAAATTACAAGAAATGGGAGGGAAGTAATTTAATTATAATTTAATACCATACTCATTACGTATAACAAATGGTGATGGAAAAACATTAATTCATTCCAATGATGTCTATAAATGTCACGTATAGTGACATTTTTATGATTTACGGTAATCATTAAACTGCTTTATGTTCCAGAAAAGGTTACACAATGAACACAATTCATATTCTTTAGATTTAAAATATATGACTGAATTTAAAAAAGTAGAGTAGACAGAACCTTTCTATGTTGCTTATCAAGTGTGGTATCTAGAATAAAGCATTACATAATGTCACCTTTCATAAAGTATGAAGAGTAATGTCCTATTTCCACTGAACAAATTGTGATTGTTTTGGTTTCTGAAGCTGAATAACTTATTGTTGGTTTATTATTGCAACTAAATTTACTTTGTCATTTTTTTACAATTTTGTATTGTCTTATAAGCACTGATGTTTTAATATGTATTTATTTAGTCAATTGGCTTAATTTATATCCCAACTGTATCCCAATTGAAACCCAAAGTGGCTCACACATGAAGTAACGCAAGACATATGCATGGAATATCAGTTATAAAAGGCTTTTACAACAATTTTTGAGTCTCATTGAGTCTCAATTGGGAGAAAGGCAGGAGATAAATTAAATCAATTAGATAAATACAAATTTAAATATCAATACTTTAAAATACAAAATTGTAAAAACAATGATAAGGACAATAAAAATGTAGCACAAGAAGCCCCCAAAAGAATGTTCTACTTAATCACTAAATGTTCAATATGGATCTAGTCAAAATGTATTTACAGTGGTCTAAACACAGAATATAACTCTTAGCAGTCTAGAAAACCAGCTAACTATCACATCATCACTTTATTCATCGCCTTCTAAAAAGTATTTATGTACAAAATATTGTTGTAGAAAAGAGGCCACAGAATAATGAAAATGGGTATTGTGAAACCTACCTGACATTATCAAGATCATAAATCACTCTGTCTATAATATCGTTAGGGTGGATCAGCCTTTCAATGTCTTGGTTAATTTTAGTCCTATAATGATAAAGAGAGTTCTCATGTCATATTTTTCAACTGTTGGGTACAACACTAGAGTATCACCTACAAAACTCATTTGGAAAGCAAAGGGACACTGAAAACCAAAGTATGGTTCTGCATATTCTCCTGATTATTGTTTGCAAAACCAATTATTTTATGAATGTAAAAAAACCAGCCTGTTTTCAAAGGAAGCAAGGCTTTCAAATATAGTATTTATATTCCTAATCAGAGGAATCATTTCCTTTCACGTGTCTAAGTTTGTATTAGTAATCATTTTTTCAAGTATTGTTAGTAGGTAACATGAATGAAGATTTGAAAGTGAAGTTAGCAATTTAATCAATTATAACAGAAGATAAAGGTTAAAAGAGTTTCAGAGACTTATTGTGCAGTGATTGGGTTAGTATGACAGCCTCTCGCCTCTGGAAATGTCATTTTGAACATTATGAACTTAATGTCCCAGTACAGATATATTATCTGTACAAGGTAGGAGGGTTTTTTTTACTGGCTTCACTGTTTTGTAGACTGACAATGTCAAATGGCTCTTTCCATATCATAGACCCACTATTTGATAGAAATAAATGCTGAGAACTGCTTCAAAATATGTAGGAAAAGGATTATAAACACACAAACTATATAGCGGAGAGAGAGAAAGAAACTGCACAGAAGATTAATTCTCTTCGGGGCACTGGGGAAAGTGGCTCATAGTAGAAATACTATATTCGAGTAAGGACATGCCTTCCATTACTTCTGAGAAGTAAGAAGTGCAATTTGGGCTCTTACACCAACATTTAAAATAGTTGAACTTTCCAGGAACTGAAACTCTTAACACACAAACCCATCTCTGAAAACAGAGAATGTAGGTTTTAAATCTACTCATATCAAATACAGGTCTTCTTAAATGTAAAGCCTGACTGATTTGTCAAACAGTTTTGTGAAGGACTAGTGACTTCCACTATATAATAGGGACTTCTTTAGTCTCCCATCCTTATTCCCAATACTACACAATAGAGAAGAGGAGGTTACAAAGGGAGGTGTGATACATTTCATAAGCAGCACATGGTCTGATGGCAGGTGGATGACATCAGACACACTGCACACAATTCATATCAATTTTCAAATTTATACTGAGAGTTCTGAGTTAAAGAGTTCTCAAAGTTGCTTAATATATGAAATGGATCCACATACAACAGATATTTGCAATGAAATCTGTGGAATCTGACACTCTTAAAGTCTGATCTTATGATAATGCGTACAATTTCCTTTTGGTAATAATCAAAAGTGGGCTTTACTTTACTCATGTTCTAGAGATAACTAAAAACCAATTGGAATTTCGATCCTATCAATTTGGAATACAAGGTTCAAGGAAACGGCACACACCCATTCACTGCCAACTATTGTCAAAAAGGAGTTCAAGAAACCCCGATGTTATGAAGGAGAAATATTCAATATTTCTTTCACATACATCAGAGTTCGCATGTGACTGCCAGCCATTCTCTTCTTCCTTGTGGAAGAAAAGGAATAAAATTTGAGATTACATTTTGTAAATTCTTAAGACTCCTATGCTTTTCTTAAAATGATGATGAAAATAATGATGATGGTGATGATAATGATGGTGATGATAATTTTCAGCATTAATATCAGATTAAATGAAGAGGTGCTCATACATAATCTCAGTAATCTGTATAACATTCCCATCCAAGTCATTATAATCCATTCAAGTTGCACAATCCTTTAGTTGGTGGAACTAAAGGATTGTGCAAAATCACCTTGGGATTTCAAGGGAGGAAAAAAAATCTGAACTGGGGACAACTTTGCTCAGACTTGTTCACTAAATCAAGCACTGTCTCTCCTGTTTCATGAATTAGCATTTCACATTATATGTAATGAAATGAGTACTCAAGTTTTCAATGGGCTTCTAACTTAAGTTCACAAATCTTGAAAGTCCATGGGATTCTCCCACATTAACTAATGACAATATATTCCGTATTGAGAAAAAGGATTTGCAAGGAAAAGCCACAGATTTGCACTTAAAATCAATGAAAATTGTCCCATCCCCTTATCTATTCATACACTAGATCAATGGTTCTCAACCTTTGGGTCCCCAGATGTGTTGGCCTTCAACTCCCAGAAATCTTAACAGCTGGTAAACTGGCTGGGATTTCTGGGAGTTGTAGGCCAAAACACCTGGGGACCCACAGGTTGAGAACCACTGCACTCGATCTAAGTTTCTGTCATCCACAAAGGATCCTCAATCTAACATTTAGCAAATTTGACTTTTAAATTTGAATTCTATTGCCCACCTTGTTAGAAATACTCACCTCTGCACTCCATAAGGTCTTTCAAGGATAGGTTCTTTAAATGGAGGTGGAATGTGTCCAAAATAATCAGGGTAGGCCACTTCTGAATATTCAGGAACAGACTTTGTATTTTTCACTATCTCAATATAAAGTTCAGGGTCATGAAGTTGCAATGCATCAGGCACCTCAGGCATCACTTGCTCTTCCACAGAAACTGAGCAGGAAACATCCTCCTCTTCCGGATCAGGTCCAGAACAACATAGCTTTCCTAGCTGGACAGATCTTCCCTCAAACAAAACACCTCCACAAGATGAAACATGCTGAAAAGATTTATTACAGGTAATTTCACTATGGCTACTTTTACATTCTTTTTTGGTCGTGACCTTTGAAGTATAAGACTGTTCATTTTTGGAAGTATTTTGCAAAGAAATTTTGTCGAAGTCTTTAATTATTTCATGGTTTAGGCACTGGCATGATGGAAGTAAATTCATTTGATCACCTTGTTGCTGCGGAATATTGTCCGTGCTATTATCATTCTTTACCAGACCCAAAAAGATTGGTCTTTTATTGCAGTCCTCTGTCTGATGAGTTTCCTTCATAGGAATTTCTATTGCATGATTTACTGGGGACTGCTCTACTCCAGCAGTAGGAACAACAATAGGTCCTCCTTGTGTTATATTAGTTGAAAGAGGCTTTGGTTCTTTGGAAACCAGGTCACATTCCTTAACATTAAAGACAGCAAAGGAAAAAATGGTGGATCGTGGTTAGGTAGATTCAGACATTAGACATATTGCATAAGCATACACACACGCACACACACACACACACACACAGTCATCCATTCCCTCTCAGAAGATCTACAACTGTACATTTTTAAATGGGTTAAAAAATCAAAATGGGGAAGTTTTTCCAGGCAGAAGAAGCATATACCCAAAAATGAAGTGAAATAAGAAGAAAAGGGAGTCAAACTGCTGGTGAATCTGAAAGAACCAACAGTGTGTGAAAAATGGAAAGAGAAATATAGTCAGAATGGGATAGCCTACATATTGGTGATATATTGACAAAATGCCACATTACAAAAACAGCCTTGATGGACCAAATTAAGATTTATCCCTACTCTACCATCTTGTCTGCAATCCTAGCCCGTGCAATAAGGGATGGAGAAACAAAACTATGGGCCAAATATGAGCTTCCCGGTCTCCCAGTCCAGACCTACAGACTCAGACCATACCTACCACCAGCCCTGAGGCAGGTAAATAACATTATTTACTCTACCTTGGCCTGTTTCCCATCTACAATGCTGATAGAATGAGAGAGAAAAATGGAGGAGAAAGCTCTGTGTATCCCCCCCACACCTTGTATCTCAAACAAAAACATCTGAAACTCAACTCACTCAAGCCATCTGAGATTATTTACTACTACTTTAATATAGGCTGTAATGTTTCAACCAAGGAATATTGAGAGAAGATCTAATCTACCCCTGCAATAGATGATCGCAAGTAGTCAGGAACATGATAGCAACATTTTTTGTTCCAATCGAAGTCAAATATCTGTAATTGAAAAGTATATGGTAGTTCTCTTTAGTCAATATAGTTAATAATAAAATATGAATATAATAAAATATGAATGTATATGAAGTAAATATAAATTGCTGTAATTTTTTCAAAAAGCTATCACATTGCAGTCATGAACAGCATAAGTATTTCTTTCCATGCTGGACAAATCACCAGCCAATTTTGGCAACTCTATCAGTGTCACAGAGCTTTCTTAGGTGAGGAATACTCAGAGGAGGGTTTGTCAGTTTTTTCATCTAAAATATATACTACCCCAACTGGTATACATTGGTGGTCTCCCATTCAATTACTAACCAGAGCAAATCCTATTTTGGACCTAATTTATAAGGGTGATACTCCAAACATCTTATCATTTTCTCATCATGAAATGCCATACTTAATATTTTAAATTTATTTATGGTAATTACGTTCCACCAGTCTTCTACTATGGAAGTCCATCATTATATCTCACATTTCATCAACCAGGCAACTAAAATCCAACTATTAGTTCTAGCTAGAGAATATATACTGAATTAATGGGAACTTGGTAAGTCAACATTTATATAAGCTCAATTGTACATCATCATCATCACCACTATCATCATCATCTTTATTTCTACTCCACCTTTCTACCCATGGGGACTCAAGGCGGCTTACAATACATCACACAATGCAATAACTTTAAAAACATGACAAATGCTAACATTTAAAACAATTATAAAATTGTGTCATGTATACAAGTTATAATATAGTTAAGATGCAATAAAATACTTATACAATTAAAATTACATTTAAAACTAAATATCCTTCCCAACTCCCACCCACAACCTCCTCAGCAGTGTGCCCTTCAGTCTCTCCCAAATGTCTGATAGCAAAAAATGTCTTAACTTGCTTGTGAAAAGCAGGAAGAAATTGGGCTACATTGGTCTCTCTTAGAAGAGAGTTTCAAAGTCTCAGAGCAACCACCAAAAAGGCTCTCTCCCTTGTTTCCACCAAATGTGCTTCAGAGGGTGGAGGGACAGAGAGAAGTCCCCCCACAGAGGATCACAGATTTCTAACAGGTTCATAGAGAGATATATGGTCCTTCAAATAACCTGGATCCAAGCCCTATAGGGGTTTATAGGTCAAAACCGGCATTTTAAAACCAGCACTTTGAATTGTGCCTGGAAATGGGATGGAAGCCAATGAAGTTGTTGCAATGACGGAGTTGTCCGCTCCCTGTAGCCAGCCCCAGTTAATAACATGGCTGCTGCTCTAGTTTGAACAAAGAATTGCTTTTAAATCTAAGGCAGCACCTGTTGTATTATTTATTTTTTATTAACATATTTAATATTACTGAAATATTTATTAACATATTTATAATCTAAAGTTCTGGGTGGGTTACAATAAAATCAGTTTAAACAATTTAAAGTTAAAATAATTAAGAGCATAAATTAAATTAAATAATTAAAAGTAAATTCAACTCTTGAATTATTTAGAAATTAAATAATTTAAAAATTGAAGCAATATAAAGTATCTATATACACAGATTATGAAATGTCAAAAGAGACATTCTATAGTTTAAGATCTCTATTCAATGTTACACAAATATTTGCAAATTAATTAATTCTAATAAATTGCTTATAGCAATTATTTGTGCCTCCTCAACACAATAAAGTGTAAACAGCAAGCTTGTATATTTTGAATATTTGCTTGTATTTCCATAAAATAAACAGCTCAATACATTGGGTGGTACTTCCTCTGATTTCTCATGAACTGTATAAATTTTAAAGAAGGATACCAACATCTGTACCTGAAATTCTTCTGTAAATTCTGGGAAAAACTGTTCATACATCTTTAGATCTTCAAAAGGTCGTTCCAATTCATGCTTTGGTTTCAATTTGTTGATATCTGTCTCTATGTCATCATTCTAGGAAAGGGAAGGTCAATTTACATTAACACATACTTATAGTTACTGATAAAAATCAGTTTAAATATTTAAAGAATATTTGAGGACACAATTAAGGAGGAAACACAAGAGAACCTCTCACATGCAGATTACTCAGAGGCGATAAAACTTCTGTTTATGAGCATAAACTTCTATATATGAACCAGACACAAGCTGACAGAAAGACTATACTATATGAACCATCAGACGCAAGCTGACAGAAAGACTATACTAAGGTTCAGTCCAATTCCTTGCTAGATGTTATTTATGAATCAAAAATAATGGTAAAGAAAACTCCTATAGGCTGCTAAAAAAAGCAATTACAAGGAAAGTGAAGGAAAGACGGGAAACATTTGGATCCCAAAAGGATTAGCCTTGGTCAGGATGAGATGGTAGATGGGAGAGAAAAAGTGTATCCATTAGATCCCATATTGCCTACTCTTGATATATAATCCTAGAATTCTAGAGCGGGAAGAGACCCCCAAGGGCCATCCAGTCCAACCCCCTGCCATACAGGAGGGCACAATCAAAGAACTCCCAATAGACAGCCTCTGCAGAAAAGCCTCCAGAGGAGACTCTAACACACTCTGAGGCAGTCTATGCCACTCTGCAATAGCTCTTACTCTCAGGTAGTTCTTCCTAACCTTTCCAGTTGAATCTCTTTCCCTGCTATTTGAACCCATTGCTCCCTTGTGCCCTGGTCTCTACAGCAGCAGAAAATCAGTTTCCCCTCTCCTTCTCAATGGGATATCCTTTTAAATATTTAAACATGGTTCTCATGTTCCCTCTCTACCTTCTGTTCTCCCAGTTAAACATCTCTCAGGAGGAAAGGAGGAAGGGAGGGGAGGGGAGAAGAAAGGAAGGGAGGAAGGAAGGAAGGGGATGGAGGGAATGAGGAAAGACAAAAGGGAAGGAAGGAAGGAGAAAGAGACGGAGGAAAGAGGGAAGGAAGGGCGAAAGAGTGGGAGGGAAGGAAGGAAGGAGGGGGGGAGGGAGGAAGAAAGAAGGAAGGAAGGAGGGGAAGAAAGGAGGTAAGGAGGAAGGAAAAAGAGAAGGAAGGAAGGATAAGATTGTGAGAGATGAGGGCCTGAGAAAAGAGACCATGGGGCCACATCTGGTCCCAGGCTTGGGTTTGTCCATACCTGCTCTATCCTATGGTTTATAATCTGCATGGATGAGGGGTGGGTTGACGTCAGCACTTCGTTCAGGTTCTTTTTGCTTACACTTATTATGATATACTCTTAGGCCCCATCTACACTTACCATTTTAATGCAGTTCAAACCTAGCTTCAAACTGCAATGGCCAGACAACAGAATCCTACAAAACCATGCAAAAGAAAGGCCTTAATGTGCATCAGTGCCCTATATTTATGTAATCACCATCTAGGCCTCAAACTGGTTCCAGAATTTCCAATGCCATTATCTGTACAACGAAATCACTTTCTTCAATTCCATTTGAAATTATATTAAATGGTCAGTGAACAGAGCCTTTTATGTCCAACAAATGCAATTGTGCACTATACAGAGAGATTCTCATGTTAAAAGAGCTTCAGGCAAGAAACGGAACATATAAAGATTCTGAACATTAAGATAAATAGTCTTAAACTGTATGGTCTTATCTGCTTTTGTTATTTTGTTTTGAACATAACAGCGCACATGTTAATGCAATATCATTATAATTGCCATATTGCCACTGTGATTAAGAAACAATCCATCATATTGGGGGGGGGGGACTACATTTCATAATAGAACAAATAAATGAATTCTAAAATTTTGGCGCATAAAATGTGCTTTTTAAAAAGTCACCTTTTGCTTTTTGGAAATATAAGTATTTAAGAATCTGGGTTTCTGATGTTAAAGACTTGTTCATTTGTTGCTTAAAAGGCAACATTATACTATAACAGCATTCCACAATGAGCCCGACTGCTCATTGGAGGAAAGGATAATAGAGGCAAAGATGAAGTACTTTGGCTACATCATGAGAAGAAAGGAAAGCTTAGAGAAGACAATTATGCTGGGGAAAATGGAAGGAAAAATGAAGAGGGGCTGACCAAGGGCAAAATGGATGGATGGCATCCTTGAAGTGACTGGATTGACCGTGAAGGAGCTGGGGGTGGTGACGGCCGACAGGGAGCTCTGGCATGGGCTGGTCCATGAGGTCAAGAAGAGTTGGAAATGACTGAACAAATTAACAACAAAGCATTCCACACAGTGAAATTTTAGCACCTATAGTCATTTTGTAGAGTAACATACCAATACATGATTCCACTTCAGAAATCTTTTGTATTTTGGCTTATATACTGTACTCTGAATTTTACTCTGGTACATTAAAAACTTGTGATAGCAAAATCGCCATCTATGTAAATTGATGGCATATTTCTTTCACTTTGATGTAGCTCATATTTCACTACAGTTCTGCATAATTTGCTTCCTAGCCACACCTTCTATGCAATGCAGGGTGCATCTGCACTGTAGAATTAACGCAGTTTGACACCACTTTAACTGTTATGGCACAATACTATGGAATATTTGGACTTATAATTTTACAAGGTCTTTAGCCTTCTGTGCCAAAGAGTGCTGGTCTCTCACCAAACTACAATTCTCAGGATTCCAGATCAATGAGCCATAGCAGCAAAAGTGGTTTTAAACTGCATTCATTCTAATGTAAATGTTCCAACAGTTTCAAAATGTTTGCATGAGAACACACAAAAAATATATGCCACATTTCGCCTCCTTTGAATGTTCATATAGCCCATTAGTAAAATAAAAAGTTGAGGAAACTCAAGAGAAGAAACTGACTTTGGCCCCTTCTAAACTGTCATATAATCCAGATTATCAAAGCAGTTACCCCACATTATCTTCTTTGAACTGGATCATGAGTCTACACTGACATATAATCCAGTTCAAAGCATATAATCTGGATTTTATATGGAAGTGTAGAAGAGGCTTTTATAATATTTCAAGCCTTATGATTCTGAAAATGTGGTTCACAGACTTTTCAGAAAACAAAGTATTTTCAGAAAAAAGCACAAGTGTTATTTCCTCAATTCTTTTACCAACCTTAAAATTTTGGTCGAAGTCTTCTTCATTATCGTTTTCAATCTCAGATTCAGTTTCGGTGTCATCGTTGTCATCACTTTCATCTACTACGTCATCCACTGTGATATAAAATGCTCTATAAGTAGGGCAGATGTACGTTTTCTACAATATGTGCATCCCAGAAAAGAAATGATGCATGTGAAACTTTTCACTCACTAATTGAAACCTAGCATTACATATGAATTAAATTTCCTGAGAGAGCATGTGTTGGATATTTAATTTCCTGGATTCTTTAAGGCACAGAAACAAAAATGTTACAGATTTTACAAAAGAAAAATTACTGAGTGGGTGAATAGGATCACAGTGCTTTACGATAATCTTTCATAATGCTAGCGGTGTGCTCCATAAAGCTTCTCTGCCATATTAGCAAGTTCCCCCATACCACCACAAGCACTGTAAATTGTTCTGAGATAGTAAAGTCAGTTCCCTATAAGGAGATGGTAATTGGTGGCAATAATGTTATTAAGAGTATGGAGAATGGAAAGTTGCTACTGCTCTGGTCAGTAATTCCTATAATGAGGTTAGGCAAGGATGCACTTCTTAACCTATATCCACATTAAACTATATCCCCATTACAAAGAAATGTATTTCTCTCTGAAAAATGTATCTTGTAAGAGTAGCACAATGTTTTTTCTTTTGTTTCAGTTATACAGAACCAGTTATCCATGGCCAGTATGCATTTTCAACTTTCAATATGATCATGCACTGTATATTTTCATTCTTGACACACACAAAAGCAATACATTGTTCTACCTTTCTGAAATTGGATTATTGTTGTTGTTTTTTTTAAAAAAAAACAAACCAATTAAAAACACACACATAGAGCACACATTTTAGTCCAATTATTTAATTCAATCAGCTCCACTTTAAATAGATTTCCTTTTTTCTTCTTTTTTTAAAAAGCAAATTAACATAGAATTTGTCAAGAATGCAAAACAATGAAAGATTAGATAACGTCACACTTCCATGCCAATATATATTCATTTTTACAGTCTGAGAACACATACAGACAAGACAATTACATTTCAAAATGGACTATACCTTCAGGAGGCAAACTGTACAGTTGATACACTGGACCATTAACAGGTATGATAGGCAGTTGGAAATGGAAAGCGCTTTTAATTGTTGGTAGTGGAAGACGATTTTTAGGATAGCACTTTCTCATTATGAGACTGGAAGTGTTGACTAATGGATCAAGAGTTCTTACTGCCAGGCATTCCTATTACAATAAATAAGGCATTTTGAAATGAAGCACTGAACATAAACTTTTTCCCTGTTTATGAAGGAAAGTTATTACTAACTTTATTTAGGAACAGGTACTGAGGTGATCCGTAGGAATGTGAGCTTTTAAGGATCCTCTTTGAATTATAATTAAATTTTGACACATCTGTGGTCCTGGAGAAACCGGAATGTGAAAGCCACGCATCCTCTGGAAGCCTGATTTAACATGGTTGCTGTTATTTCAGAGTGAAAACATTTTCCGTTTCCACTCTCTAAAAAAAAAAAATCAAAGTTTTCCTTCAGTTCATACAGAAAACTTCGTCCTGCTTGCAACCAAGTCTCATTAACAAAGATTGATGAAAGGGATAACCAGCAGATAGTTATACATCTCTTGGTCTGGAGTCCATAAAACTGGTGAGCATTTAAAAAAATACATAACTCATGATGCAATATGTGTTTTCAATAGGGGAGGGGGTGAGAATGAAATGCACACATGCTCTGAAGCTTCCTCCCATGTTACAGATCCCAGGTTCAGACTCTAATAGATTAAGGACAGCATAATTCTACCTGGAATTCTTGGGGGATTCAATTAATCTCTAATGGCAAATTGCAGTAATTTGAGTTTAAAACCTTTTGACATAATTTAAAAACATACATTTAAAAATAGGATTATTCATTGCTTTTAATTTCAACATGATTAATCAAATTCTACATAAAAAGCCTTCACTGAGCAATTATGGCAAAATGCAAAGGGTAGGCCCTGAACCGGGGGGGGGGGGGGGGGGGGGGGGAGTCTGAAGCACAATTGAATTGTTGGAGTTGGAACAAGCACCACAAGTTTTTCCACCTCATACATTTGATACAGTTTAGTCAACCAGAGAGTGGAAATGTTTGCATGATTTTAGTCAGGAGCTTTTTGGCTACAGATCATTAACTGCAGATGAATGCTGTTCCTATGCAGCCTTTGGGCTTAGACCTACTAGGAAAAACTGAAATGATTGATATTCATGAACAAAATTACATATGGGCTTCAGAAAGCAATTTCTGCATGGGAAATTATATAGCAAATCTTTAAGCTTATCCGAATAAAAAACAGGGGTGACATCATTAGTAAAGCAATATTATTCATTAATAAAATTAAATATCATTGATGCTATTTGGAACTAGGTGTAAATGGAGAAATACAAGCAGAAAACAAGGTTTTCATTAGGACATAAATATAATGCCCCACATTGTCAAGCTTGGAGGTTATACCAGAGAGAAATTGCCCTGATATTCTGCAAATTATGGGATACCAATCTGTATGAAACAAAACTATACACTGTAAATTTACAGCATAAAAACTGAGCTTGAGTTTTGTTTTCCTCATCTTCCTTTCAATTGTTTTCTGCTATGTGGCTTCAAGCTAGCTCAGATTTATGGTGACCTGGAAGATTTATTCTAAGGAGATTTGTCACTGCCTTCCTCTAAGACTATAAGAATAGGACTTACCACAGGCTCCCCAGTCAAATATTATGGCTGAATGGGGATTTGAACTCTGATCTCTGCCAATCTAGTCCAACACTCAGAGGGCTATACTGTGCGGGCTTTTCATCCCCTTGGACCTTTCTGTTATAGTTTAGAGCAGGGGTCCTCAAACTTTTTAAACCGGGAGCCAGTTCACTGTCCCTCAGACCATTGGAGGGCCGGACTATAGTTTTTTTAAAAAAAATCAATTAAAAAATTCCTATGCACATTGCACATATCTTATTTTACTGTGTGGAAGGGCCCTTACAGGGGGTTCTTTCTAGCCCTCTTTAGGCAGTAATTCCAGGAGCAGAGAATGGGAAATCTTCCTATTTCTAGTCTGAACAAAATCTGGCTACCAGTATTAAAAAAAACTCTAAAATTATAACTGTAAATAAAGAACAACACTCAAACACAGGCGAACTCCAGACAAGAAACAATCAGGGCCAGCTAATCACATCTCAACAAAGGATTCTCCCTAAAAACTGTCAGGCTATGAAATGGTAATCAAGGTGGCCAATTGAAACATTCATACCTACCTCCAACAGACAAGAGTTCTTTCTCCCACCCTGGATCTTCCACAATTTTCCTAGTTAAAGGTTTTCCTCTGACATGAAGTCCAGTCGTGTCTAACCCTGGGATGTGGTGCTTACCTGCATTTCTAAGTCGAAGAGCTGGCGTTGTCCGTAGACAACTCCAAGGTCATATGGCCGGCATGACTGCATGGAGCGCCGGGGCAGCCTCCCTTGGCTGGCTCACGCTGCTCACCGAGCCCGATGGGCAGCGTGAGCCTGCCAAGAGGAGCAGCACCGTGCGGCCTACTCGCATAAAGCACCTTGCGAGGTGCTTTACGCGCGAGTAGGCCGCACAGAGCAGCTGCCCTTGGCTGGCTCACACTGCCCATCGGGCCTGACAGATAGCGTGAGCCAGCCAAGGGAGGGGCACTGTGTGTGTGTGGGGGGGTGCTCCTCCTCCGTGGGTCGGATAAGTGCCCTTGGCGGGCCGGAAGTGGCCCGCGGGCCGTAGTTTGAGGACCCCTGGTTTAGAGAAAGGGCTTACAAACAGGGCCCTGATTTCTATTAATATGGGTACAATTGCCTGGAATATATTTTGGCTGAATAGGGGGATAAAATGCCATAAATAAAAAAGACAAAGACAGCTGCAAACTATCAATGGGAATATAGTCAACAGCAAGTCAACTGAATCTTCAAAATGTCAGAATTAGCAGGTCAGATTGAATATAATTCCCTGTGAAGTATACATGCTTTGTAGCTGAAGAAAGGCCATCATTTATCTAGTGTTCAAGATTTTATCTGCAATGCATATTTATATCATTAGCTCATTGGCATATAAAGAGGCTTCACGATACATCATTAGCAATATAACTTCTGAAAACTTACTTGTGAAGTGTTGTACAGAATTTTCATCCCATTGACATCAAGGAATGCTTTTCTTCCCAGTTTGATGTTTGTAACACTTTTAATAGCCTGCAAGATTCCCTTTCGGATCAACATGTGCCTGTGTCGGCTATCATGACGGTGCCAATCTACATAAATTGTTAGAAGCATTTGGACATAGCCCCTGTCAACAGCTCGCCTTGCGTTTGTTCCTGGGGAAAGGGAGAAGAATGAGGAGTTATCAACTTTTCAAGGATTTCTAAACAGTTAAAAACATGAAACCAAACAAGATTTTTTTAAAGATTAAATGATTTTTAAAAAATTGATTTTACTTCTGCTTAATTACTTGTTTTCATGTTATATTAAATATGTAGATGAAGAATTTAAATGGAATGATGTGAACAAAAGGAAAGCTGTTTGAAAATGACAAGGCTATTCAAACTTTTGCAAAATCAATAATGCTACTGACAAGATCTAAAATATTTGACTTAGAACAGGGAAAATTATAGCCCCTCTTCAGAATTAAATTTCCTAGTTGTTCTCAAATTAGTCACATACATTTGCACCATAGTCTCTTATACAGTTTTGTTGTGAGGATAAATTAGAAAAGGAAAGAAAAATATACACTTCCTTGAACTACTTGGGAAAAAGCTTAGATAGAAACTGTAAGAAAAAATAAATAAAAACAGGTATTAATAACACTTTCAAGAAGAATTATGAATACTGAAAAAGTGGCTATTGAAGTGTAGAGAAAGGACCAGTAAAGTTTCAGCATTTCTCTTCTTTTTCGTGAACAGAGACACTCATTGACTTTAGAACGATGACATTCCTATTTCTTTCAGTACAAAATATATGACATTTTATTTCTCTAGGATGATAACAAGCAAAAACCTATGTTAAACCATTCATATCTCATGTGTTCTATAATAATTTTGATAAAATACTGAAGTGTACTTACTTGATTTTAACAGTGCTGCAAGGGTGTCTAAAGCAACCCTGTGAATATAAAAACACACAAAAAAAAATACAAAATAACAAGTGTGTAATAGTCAAATTTGTATTTAAGCAGCCTAACAGGATGAGAGTCCAAAACTGTAATGACATGAAAAATACATAATATTAATTCAAAACACGTTTGTTTTATAGTCCACAAGATTTGTCTTCCTACAACATTGCATCTATACATAATCAAGATACTGGCTTTGTGAATATATTTTCAAAAATGATTTTCTGTTGACTTCAAACATTCTTGCTATTGCATATTTTAATGGAACTTACAGCCAGTACCATAAGCTTGGGCAGTATCAAATATACTTATTCAAATATTACTATAAAAATAACAGAAACCTACAAATTTCTGTTATGACCAGCAATTTATTCTGAATGTTTCACACAAAACAATTGTGGGGAATAGAAAGATGGGGGGGGGGGGGGATCCTGGGTACAAAGAATATATCACATGGGTTGTCTGGACTATGACTTATAAAAAGAAGACTACTTTTGTATAGCAAGTCTCAAAGATCAAAAAACGGATTCAATATTCTTAACATCAGGAGTTTTTTAGCAGACTATAATTTATCCTTAGAGATGACATTCATGCCGCATTTCAAATGCTAGGTAAGGCTCCTTTTAAAATAAATGATGTTCAAAAGTTAAGAAATATGTATTTTCAATACAGTCAGATAGTCTACTCACTTCATAAGGCCAGTATTCTTCTTGCTAAAGGGACCAATTATCTTAAATATCAATTCTACAACTCCATTCTTACCCAAGGACACAGCATTTACAGCTGAAAAACAAGATCACATTTTAGATCAAAAAGACAGGCACAATGACATAAATATATTCACTGAAAACAGTGTATGTGTAATATACATTTAAGACAGCATTTGTATTCCATAATCATAAAATACCAAAAATAAATATTTCCTTAACAAAATACTTAATGCAATTGGTAGACAATTGCAGGAGGACATAGGGACCACTTTTCACTCCCATAAACATGCAGGCACCTTCCCTGCCACTTGACCAGGTGTCTACTTTTGATTATGAGTTTGGGCATTTTGGATGTGTATTGATAAGTTTGGTAGAAGGTGTTTCTTACTAGACTGGTAATTAACTATTTCCAGGCATTTTTCTCTCAGAAAGGGGCTGTGAGGGGGTCAGAGGAACAGGTCAAGCCAAGGGATTGCAAAAAGGCCAAGCAGGTTCTTACATTCTGAAAGCCACATTTTGCCCACCCTTCTATATGTAAATGTCTAATCAAGTTTAAGGTAACAAAGGTAAACAGCAGGAATTAGCAATCTCTAGCTCTTGAATTAAATCTGGCCTTTTGCTATTTTCTTTCTCTAGGCACTGATTAGACATTAAGAGGATATTTAAAGACATTTTAGCTTGAAGTACCCTCCTTGTAAATAACAAGCACCAGCAGCAGCCACTCATCTAAGCAGTGGGACATGATAGTCTCTATTGGCTTGCTTGGATAATGGGCCACCAGTGTTTTGTCTGTCTTCAAGTTGCTGGACTAGAGCTCATTTTAAGAGAACAGCACAAAAAAACCCTGAACTATGTTTTTTAAACTTGGCACAGAAATGTTAACATTCATAAAAATTTATATTAAGTTCTGCCTGTTTTGGCCTTCTCTAAATTGTCCCTATCTCTACCCCATGCTCTTAGTTCTGCCCAGTGCTGAAATGCAGCTACAAAAATAAGCTTTCCAAACCTCATTTCAGCCCCACACACAAAATTATGCAAGACCATTCTGCTGTATGTTACAACATCTGTTTTGTAAGGTTACAAAATATTATCTGCTATGTTTTTAACTTATTTTTGGAAGCAAGCACATTGGCAAGATAGGGTATTTTACTGCAGCTGTTCACTAGTTAATATAACCCATGCCATTCATGTTTAGTTAAGCATACAAATGGAAACATAATTTCTGGCATTGCAGAAGGTCTAAGTGGTAGGCTAATTCCATACCAAAGAGACAGTTTGATACAAGAGTACTATTTTGGAAGAAGCAAAGACCACCAGGATTGAAATGATGGTCCTCTGCCATCAACTCCGCAGGACTGGCCACGTTGTCCGAATGCCCAACCACTGTCTCCCAAAGCAGTTGCTCTACTCCCAACTCAAGAACGGAAAACAGAATGTTGGAGGACAGGAAATGAGATTTAAAGATGGGCTCAAAGCCAACCTTAAAAACTCTGGCATAGACACCAAGAACTGAGAAGCCCTGGCCATTGAGTGCTCCAGCAGGAGTTCAGCTGTGAGCAGCAGTGCTCCAGAATTCAAAGAGGAACAAGTGGAGGGCGAACGAGAGAAACGTGTCAAGCCAACCCCGACCGGGACCACCTTCCACCTGGAAACCGATGCCCTCACTGCGGGAGAACATGCAGGTCAAGAATAGGGCTCTACAGTCACCTACATACCCACCGCCAGTACACCGACCTTGGGGGACAATCTTACTCGGACAACAAGGGATCGCCTAAGTCAAGTCAAGTCAAGTCACTATTTTGGAATGTTTAACAATATTTACAACTCCTGTTGAAGTAACATTACGTTTTCTTTATTAGGATTAAGTGGACCAGAGTCTCTGTATTTCTCCTTGTTACTGAATTTCACTCACCCACTTAAGACATTACATTGTCATTAGATTAATGGTTAATATTAGCAATGTTATGCTAATCAAGGAGAGCCTGGTTAGCGCAAAATAATTTGTGCTAATAATGCAGCATTTAATTACGAATAAAGCTGGGAAGAGCCTCCTTCTATATACAGATACTAAGTAATACCTATTGATAGATCATCTGTCAAGTGCTATCTAACACCCAAAGCTCAGTGGTCAACTGTACCCAGTTACAAGTAGACATAAAGGGTTTCTATGAATACAAAAATCTGGCAAACACAATGAAAGACAGTAATGGGGCCCCTGCTTATGCAATTGTGGCGATGTTATGGTTGCTTTTGCAATACTTTTGATTACAAAGACAGTCATCTATATATTTAAACTCCCCCACCCTTCCTTTTCTCTCTGTCTCTATCTCTCCATCTTGCAGAACTCTATTAGTTTTCAGCATAAATTAAACACACATATTAAATATCTAGGTAAACAGAGTCATGCCGAGAGAAAAACGTTACAGTATACTTACAATTAGTTGAGTACACACGTACCAGTTGGAGACAAGGCAGTATTAGCTTTTGATTTTGCAAGTTCTGTTTCACAATGTTTAAAGTTATATTCAAAGCACCATTAATTCTGGCTTTTACTCCAAATTTTCTATCTGAAAAACACCCGGGGGGGGGGGGGGGAATTAGTACCTATGAAAAATTAAAAATTACTTCTATATTTAGAAAATTTATGGAAACATAACAATTAGGTTTACATTCTAGCAACATCATATTAAGGGAAGCCGAAACTTTGGTTATTATTTCAGAACGATATCAATGAGCTCTTTTCAGCCACTATGTTTACTTCAAAGTGTATAAGGATTTATATTATTATTATTATTATTATTATTATTATTATTATTGGAGTATCAAAGTTACCCTAATTCCCCATGTATCTTGAATGCCAGGAATATTTTCAGACTAACTTAATTTGACATTCATATAAAAATAACATGCCTCTGCTTTGAACTTCAGCCTATGCCTGTCTATTCTCTAAAGCAATCACGGCTGGTGGATGCTAAGCAACAACCTAATTCATTCAACTTGACATTTGCTTTTATTTATTGAAAGTATTATAAATATTTCTGCATTTTAGAAAAATCCTCAGCAAAGTACAAATTATTAGCTATCAAAATGCAAAAAATAAAAATAAAAATATCCACCTCTTAAAATGTCAACATAACATTGTTCATGAGTCACCAAGAGAAGTGTTCATGGTTTGAAACAACTAGAAAACACAGCAGGCACCACCTTCTTTGGTAATGCTAGCCTCATATTCTTTCCCAGAAGCCCACCTGGATATTTGAGGGCTCTTGGAATGGCAGGGAAGTCAGTCAATCAGCTTTAGCCCACCTGACTAGTGTGTTGGATGAAAGGAAGCTGAGCAATGGCTATGTATTTACGCCAGGCTCCTATGCTCTTCTCTTCCACTTTGTCTTTTTGTTTTGTTTTTTACTGTTTGTGAGATATGCAGCTTTTAATCTGTGTAATAAAATCTATATTTTTGCCACAATTTTTGTGGTTTTAGCAGATGGGGGGGGGGGGAACAGAGCCTATATGTCTGAGGAAAAGGGGTGACTTTGAACCAATTGCTGAAGATATATATGCTTAGGCTTAGTTAACAAACAAACTGCTGTCTTTTGTACTGACTCAAAATTTTATGAAGACGTCATCTTCATCTACATGGCTTTAGTAGGAGTGCTTCTGCTTTATGACACAACAACTGCAGGAGACATAATACTGTGCATATAAATTATGGGCCAATCCTCTAGTTTAGGATTCCAATCAAGTCCCGCTATATACTACCAAAGCACAATATCCGCCCCCTTTGCACTTATGACAATAGCATAACACCAACCTATCAGTTACTTCAGTTTAAAGCTAACACACTATTCCATTCTTTTTGGTTCAAGATAATTTAATCATAATCCTATTCTTATTCGGGAGACATAATTTAAGAATTGTGCAGAGTAGTATGACAGAACTAACTTCCAGCAGCATATATGGAAACAAAAGCAACTGCAATCACATGAACTTATTCAAATTAAACTAACCCTTTGGACCAACTTTTGCAAGAAGAGAATGAAGTAGCACCATTAATTCTTCATTTGGTGGGGATTCTTTGCTGGCATTCACAAGCAATTGCAATAAAATCTGCGTCCCTCCTCTAGAAACCAGAACACTTGTTCTACGGTTACCTCCTAGAAACAAAATAAGATCCATCAGCAGCAGTTCTAAGATATATAAATGTCACTGGGGCACATTTTTATCATGCAGGCATTTAAATTATAGTTAAAAGGCCAAATTGAGTCTTCAGTTTCTTGAAGTCACAAATGCCAAGCTATGTGTGCTTCTAAATTATCCAGGCATGTTTTTTTAAAATAACAGACAATAATAAAACCATATACTCGAGGTGGAGGAAAACCTTACCTACAGCCACCAATTCCAGTAAGATGTTTAAGATATTTATTGTAGTCTGAAGATCTCTGGTATTCTGAAATGAAGGAACAGTATGCATTTTATTGTATTTATACTACATCTTTCATAATAGCTACACAGAGATGCAAGTAAAACTATAAAAAAGAAAACATGATTTATTCAATGTGATTAAAGAAGATTCAGAGTTTGAACTTTAAAGTCCTCTTCAAAGTAAACAATGGAGAAATTTACACAGCAGAAAATATTTCCTTCTACATCTCTGACATCAATATGGGTTCAAAAGGGACTGAGCACTGGCTGCATCATGGCGTCATTTTTAAAATAGCATGCTAAACAGAAACAGTAGCCAAAGTTGTGGTTTATTTTACAGACTGCACGTTGGGTTTTATAAGAGCTGGTGTGATGTAGTAATTTAAATGTTGGGCTAGGACACTGGAGCACCATTGTTCGAATCCCAGCTCAGTCATGGATACCTACTAAATGACCTTTGGGAATTGACATTCTGACATTCCCTCAGCCTCAGAGGGTGGCAACAGAAAAACCCCTCTGAACAAATTATGTCCTTAAAACTCCATAATGGGGTCATCCTAGATCGCTATAAGTCAGAAATGAGTTGAGGGCACATAAGAACACCATCAATGTGAAGCTTTTAAATCTTTTATTTAAACAGAGGTTGCCAAAGATCAAGTCTAGCTTACTAAATGGCAATTCTTGAATGACATATTTTGAAGAATGCTGTAGACTCCTTTCCCAACAAAAAAAAATCCTAAAAATAAAGAACCTACAACTATGAAGCTAGCTTTCAAACTGTACAAGAAATTTAAACTGGTTGACCCATTCGTTGTATCTAAGGTCCCTTCCACACAGCTGAATAAAATCCCACATATTCTGCTTTAAACTGGAATATATGGCAGTGTGGACTCAGATATCCCAGTTCAAAGCAGATATTGTGGGATGTTCTGCCTTGATATTCTGGGTTATATGTCTGTGTGGAAGGGCCCATAGATCAACTGTCACTTTATACATGTTGTTCAACTGCAACTTCCATCATCCCGAGCCAGCACTACCACTGGTGATACATCATATGAAGCTGATGGACTGTATCTAGGTGGTTGCAGTTGCCCACCCTGAACTGTGAATCAGAAGACTGAAGTACAAAAACACATGCACACAAATACATTACCTCTAATGTTGAGAGGATAACTTCTATTCCAGTTGAACCCTTGGCCATCATATCTTTCTTGATTTTTTCTGAAAGTTAGAGATGTACATTCTTTCTATGATGGTATATACATAGGGATAAAATCTAATAAACAGGAGATTTTAATTTCAAATGAGATAAATATAAAATGTATTGCTAACATATGGCTAGAGGTAAATATGGCCATCAGTAAACTAATTTAAATCCTACTGGATCTAAAAAAAAAAAGGATGGAGGAGTGGAGTATCCTCAAAAATGCAGAGCAGTTGGAACTAGGACAGCTAGCAACAACTCTGCAACTCAGATGTACATTTCACAGCTAAGTGTATAGCAGCTCTGTGAAATGAAAATTATCCCTTAAATGCCACTCTTCCAGATAAAAGGGATCTCTTTTAGTCTGTATCTAAAAACCTTAAAGTGCAGAGGAGGGCCTAATATCACAAAATGATTTGTACTAAGCACCCAGATCTGCAATTAAAACATACAAGAATAAATTAGGGGAACGGATGACGTGGATTAACAGTCAGTTACGTAAGAGCCCCTTAAAAGCTAAGTACAATGCTGACATGTATTTGTAATTGACACTGGGTGTTCTAAAATTGACTATTCACAATGCAAGATTTTCAGATCCTCATTTCAATCAATGGAAATTATTCCCTGAATTTTGTAATTTTTGAACCTATGCCATGTCAGTAAGTCTTGAAATTAAAGGGAAAGACAACCAAGGCTGAGAATTTTTAAAATAGCCTTTTAAAATCTGGTGAAGATAATGCATTTTGCAAACAAGACAAAACATTGGTTGGTTCTAAATATACAGTCATACCATACCAATTGTAATTTAGAGCAGCTGAATTTTTAATACTTGTATAAAATATAGTTCTGAAAATGATAGGCATGATATACAGGACACATGCAAGAGTAGAGGAGAAGCAGAACTATTGGTTAAGTTATGGTTGATTTTAGAGTACAGTATATTTACCTTGACTTTGAGCTAAATGTAGAATCTTTGATGTAACATATCTGGCATTATCTGCATCTACCAAACAATCTGCATTGATCTTCTCCAGCTGCGCCAACAAGCTCACAATCCGAGAATTGTTAGTTACACTGGAAAAAGAACAAATATATTTATGTTGTGACTTCAAATAATTTTTGGAGTAAATAATTATTTTTCAGCCATTGGGGGGGGGGGGTCAGGAGCGACTTGAGAAGCTGCAAGTCATTTCTGGTTCAGCCAACGTTAATATTGTCACGATTCTCCCATCCAAAAATGCTTAAAATTGAAACACACACACACACACACACACACACAACAGGCATTTATTTGATATTCACACTTTTTTTTTTTTTGCTTTTTGGAGAGGATGGAATAAAATGGAACACGAAGAGTATATGGGTAAATATATGTATACAACGTTAAATTGTGAACTTGGGATAAAACTAAACACAACTACATTTTCACAGATTTGGCATTTACTGAAGAAATGGGAATAAGAAGAAGGAAATGGCATGGGAGAAATGATGAGAACAACAGAAATGGTAATTAACTCTTCCTGGGTGTATAAATTCCAATGTGCCCAGGGTTTTGGGGGGTGCAACTACACCATAGAATTAATGCAGTTTCATACCACTTTAATTGTCATGGCTCAATGAAGTGGAATCATGAGTGTTGTAGTTCTACAAGGTCTTTAGCCTTTCCTGCCAAAAATGCCTCCTCAAACTACAAAGCCATAGGAATGCATCATTGCAGTTAAGAGTGGTGCCAAACTACATTATTTCCATAGTGCAGATGCAAACTTGGTTTTCTCTTGTTTAAATAGCCAGATCAATTGATGGCTTCCATCTCCATGTCGTGGTGAAATTGCTCTCCAAGAAGCTCTCCAAAGTGATGAGCCCCATTCTCCAGAAGTGGTTCAGAACCCTGGATCAGTAAAATGGGTTTTTTAAATGTAAAACTGGATAATTTTATGGAGAATTAGACACTTCTTTTTCTTCCTTTCCTTTTTTGATAGATAAGGCATCTGGTTCAGAATCCTGGGCTTACTGTACTTTTGAGGAGATAAACCATCTATCTCTATCTCTTGGATGAGTGCCTGTCTCTGTGCTTTGCTATTCTGTATTCCGGCCCAGTTGTCCTGAAACGTATTTCAGCCATCTGATCTAACTGGATTCTTCTCCTCCTGCCCATTGAATTGTGACCCAGGCTTTTCAAAACGAGAAACAATTGTGTGTCTTTAATAAGTACTATAATTTTGGAATCTATATATCGCAATATTGATATAGATATCAATATTGATAGATTTAAGTTAAATAATTAAAGTGTTGCAGCGTGAAATGCTGCTATTTTATCATTTACTGAGAGATTCCAGTCTTCTCTACCTCAGTTCTTTCTACCCCAACCATGGTTGCTTTCTCTATCCACATTTCTCTTGTGTGAGAGTAGAACTTCCTTGGGGATATTACCAACAACAGTTATCCCTGAAGATCTGAAATAATGGGGAAATGGATTTAAACGACTTTTTTGAAACACTATTTTAGAAAAACAGGAGACTACTGATTTATTTTAGCAGCTGGAATTTTAACCCACCCTCCTTGTCAACATATAACAAAGCAATACAGCAAAGTGATCATTTGCTGTATACATACAATGAAAAATTGATTTATCTACAATAAAACAAAAAGGGACATGACAGCAGTTTAATAAATATGCCAGTGACTGTATATACAGGCTATGCTGGATTAATGTCTTGCAGTTATGTTATGCAGTTATGAAATAGCTCTGCTGCAATTATAAATACTCTACATAGAATCCTGTTGTTATATGGTTAGTGCTTAGAAGGAGAGTGGATGAAAAGTATGAATTTTTAATTGAAATCTGGCTTCATTTAGATCAAGTCCCTTACATTTACTGATTCTGATTAAATGGTTTTGTGAGTTGTCCTTCCACAAAGACAGAAGAATTTGTTCATTTCAAATACTACAAGTGGAATGGATAATACAAAGGATATAGAACATAACACAGTGCACTGAAGTTTGTAAAAAATATGTGTCCTCACTTTACTTCTTCCTCCCATTTTTCCATGAGCAAAAAACCGAAAATCTTATCATAACCCATAGAATACAGTTAAACATTATTATAACTCATAGCATACAGTAAAATATTGATAACAGCTTAAGAACAAGCCAGAATTGAGAAGACAACTTTAAACAATGTCATCTCTCAGCCTGTTTAAAACTACAGTTTATTGTGCTTTTCTGACCTCTTTGTACCCATGCGAAGAGACATAGGGCCCACTGACAATGGTATTGTGATTGTGCATATCCTGCCTTATTATGCCACCATTCGATGGCATGGAAGTGAATCAGGGAATTCGCATACACATCTGTTCAGGAAATATCTCAAGTTCAAATGCAAAATTTGACTTAAACATGACTTGACAGAGATTTGGTTCCCCGCTGGCCACTGTACGACCCATCCTGCATTGTATGTAGTTTTGATCCTCAACCCATGTGAGAATTCAGATCAGAAGACACTGCACTACGACCAAAGTTTCTCGGATGTGCTGTCATAAAATTGAGGAGATGGCATACTTATGATCAGACATATCACACAATTCTGGAGCCAACCTTGAAATGAGGAAATGCTCTAAAAGACCCTTGACAGCTGCAGAAGACTTTAAATATGTTCTCAGTTCACATTCCTCATTCATTCTTAACTATGTTAAGTCATTTGTTCCAAGGTATACAGAATTCTCTTATTATAGGAAACAGGACATCATTTTTTAAAAATTCAAGCAGTCTTAAACAAGAAAAATGGTAAATAACAATAAGAATCATCACTATGAGAACTTCTTTTTAAAAAATCAACTATCTACAACTCTTTACAGCAACTCTTCTAAAGTACCATGTACACTGATTGCACCATGCAGATAAGTGATAGCACTATATAACACGATTTTTGTTCCTGGGTTATAAATGTTATTTTCTAATTGGTTTTATCATAAAAAATATGGAAAAAATTATTAAACTGCAAAAACTTTGGTTTTGCGGGACATCTGCAGTACATTTTGCTATAGTTTTTCAATGAATATCTCCTAGAGTCTTAAACAATCCAACATAGTTTGTGGCAGCCACAAAAATGAAGTTTCTGGAGTATAACAACTACTTTCAAAGTAAATGCAACACAATTAAACAAGAAATAACTTTTTCAAATTTTGTTACATAGTGTAATAAATATTTAAACTGTAACTTCATGAACAGAATATAAAGAAAATATATTTCATTAAAGTCTAAGAAGAATATACCATATATACTTGAATATAAGCAGAGTTTTTCAGCCCTATTTTTGGGCTGCCTGCCTGCTTTCTGAGACCAGAAGGTGCCCTACTATGATTGTGCTTTTGCTGCATGAAGGGGGTTAGACTAGATAGCCTTTAGAACTCCCTTCCAAATCTATTATTATTTTTATTAATATTAATATTAAGACTGGATGGCCATCTGTTGGGGGTGCTTTATTGTGCTTTCCCTGCATGAAGGCAGAATGAAGGGGCTTGGACTAGATGGCCTTTAGAGCTCCCTTCCAACTCTATTATTATTATTGTTATTATTATTATTAAGGCTGAATGGCCATCTGTTGGGGGTGCTTTGATTGTGCTTTCCCTGCATGAAGGCAGAATGAAGGGGGTTGGACTAGATGGCTCTTTAGAGGCCCCTTCTCTCTCTAGGATTCTATGAAAGGAGTCTTAGAACCACGAACTGAACATGAGACAATAGTGTGATGCTGCAGCTGAAAAGGCCAGTGCCATTCTAGGCTGCATCAATAGAAACCCGCAAGAAGGCAAAAGGGAACTGATATGACATTTTACCTCGGATTGTTTTTTAATTGCTTTTAATGATAATTATTAAATGCAACTGTTTATTTTAACTTATTGTACCATGTTTAGTACTGCCTTTTGTTTAAATTTTGTATAGTCTTTTGTTTATATAGGCATTGAATGTTTACCTGTTACTATGTTGGAAGCCAGCCTGAGTCCCCATTATTATAAAGTTACTGTTGATACCATATTGTTTTTGTTGACCCCCCCCCCACCCCGTTTTCCACTTACATGGCTTGTTTACTGTTTTACTTTGAAATATGGCAAATATTCAAAATCATTTAACCTACTGATGTCTCAATTAATATAATTTTAAAAATAATGTATCTATTTTTATTTTGAAATTTACCAGTAGCAGCTGCATTTCCCACCCTAGGCTTATACTCGAGTCAATACGTTTTCCCAGATTTTTGTGATAAAATTAGGTGCCTCGGCTTATATTTGGGTCGGCTTATACTCGAGTATATACGGTATGTATGATCAATATTAACAGTATTACAACTCACTCCCATGGAAATGTACTTGAACTGAAAAAGTACTCATTTTAAAACTACTATCAAGCTTAAATACAAGATCCCACCATGCCAATATTGTTTTCTCCCTAAAGATTAATTTTGCAATCCTACAGGTACATTGAGAAATCTGCCTTAAATCTAGTTAAATCAACATTCATCCCATTTTAGGACTTGGAAAGAAAGGTGTAACTCTCAACTTCCCATGCTTACTTTTGTTCAAAGTCTAACAAAAGTGCTTTCTGGGAATCCTTTAACCGTCACAACCTTGATATTTGTATTGTTCTTAATGAATTACTTTCTATACTGTGGCTCTGAGGCTATTTCTTGTTTGTTTTTAAACACTAAATTCACTACTTTCTTATTCTTATGGCAGTAATAAGTTAGAAGGCTTTCCATACTGACCCTGCAGATTTATAGTTGATCTTTATAGTTAATATCCATAAAGCCAGAAGTTTAAGTATCTCAACATTAATAAATAGTGGATAATTATTTGCAACTTTATTTCTAAACTAGTTTGGGTACCCAGCGATGCCCGGGTTATTTGAAACGGTCATGATTTGTGTTCAGATGTAGGGTAATATCAGTTTGGTCATATCTTACACTATTTCTTAGGGGGGGAAACTCAGTCTTTGCTTTTTTTAATGAATGTTTCCATTAGAAAATGCATAAGGATGTGGATGAACTACAATTCCCAAAAATCTTGGGTAAGCCTCATGAAATCCCACCAGTATTCACAGTTGGCCATGTTCGGTCTGTGTGCCAAATGTGGTCCAGATCTGTCATCTTCTGGGTTCAGAGTTCTCTGAAAACAGGTGAACTATAACTCTCAGATTTCAAGGTTAATCTCTCCCAAAGTCCACCAGTATTCAAAGTTGGCCATATTGGGTCTATGTGCCAATTGTGCTCTAGAGCCATCATCTACTGGGGTCAGAGTGTTCTTATATTGCAGGTGAGCTATACATGCCAGTCCCTACAACTTGTATAAATCATGGTGAATTCTCCCCAAACCACTCTCTCCAGATGTTCAGTTGCTGTCTGCAATAAGAAAGGGTTAAGGGAGTAGCAGTGGGCAGGGTCATGCAAATACCACACCAATGAAGAGAGAATGGAATCCTAGGATGAGGCTCGCTGTAACCTGCAATGCCCTTGGAGAGCGGGCTTTGGTGGCTCTTCAGCACTGTGGGTTAAAGCAGTTTGTGGAGGTGGGAAGCTGTCTGTGTAAGTGGACACTCCTACCACATACACACATACAGATTTTTCACTTTTATTATGTGTAAAGATAGACTGATGTATAGATAGATAGATGCTTCCAGTTTATTTGTATAAACATTCTATGTGATTTACAGAGCAAGCAGCTTATCTAAAAGTTCTAATGCCTTATTTATTGTGTCAAATAGAATGCTGCTCACTAAATTATCTCAGAAAGTCACTGGCTTTATCACAATGACATTTAGCTACAGTGCCTTTGGTTCTCCAGAAGCCAAGGCATTTTTCATTTAAGAATCCAATCAAATACAATTTCCAGGAATTCATGTGAAATGAACTAGATAACAGCAGAAATAACAATATATTGTATATAAGAAAGTGAATATAGAACCCTTTTTCCTTATCTGAATTTATGTGATTTTTTATTGTTTTACATAGATCTATGCTTGTGTTTCAGCCATTCATGTTTTCTGAATCCTAGTAATGTAAGAAAACAACTTCCTTGTTGGTTTCTTTTTTAAAACCCTCAATTTTCTGATAAATTTGATCTTTTCAGGGTAGTGGGAATTTTTTACACCACACATTTTAACTTATATGTAGAAATTATAATTATATACATTACACTTGGGAGACAGAATGAGAAAGTATTACCTTTTGATTATCTCATATCCCTCAACCATTTTAAATATTATCAGTTATGGTATTTTTTAACAGGGCACTCAGACTGGAAATAGAACTAACCAGATGCTTCTATTCAAACTGTTCAAAACGAACAGTTAGTTTCAGATGATGATGGAGTGAGTACTGCTTGACATACATATTGTGAGGGCCAAATAAATATTATTTTGGTCCCCGTGTACTTTAATATCTACATAACACGATTGATTCGGGTCACATGGAGATGTGGAGGGAAAGGCATCATCATGAAATTAGCACATAGCTTTCTTTTTCACCCAGCAGCTATCATGGTGCTAAAGAAGAATGGGTATATGGTGATGAAAGGGATGAGTGCCAAAAAACTGAAGAATAACACAACCAAAATTGATATTTTGTGGATATACCATTTGCCTCTTGTCCCAAATGAACCTACTGCAGCTACTTCCTGATCAATTTTCCCTAAAAACAGCCACCATCTTGGCAGCACACACTGACTTCTAACAATTCAACTGCTGTCTGGAATAAAGAAAGTCAACATGGATAGAGGAAGCCTGCCCTCAGTAATCCATACTATTCTAATCTCCAGAGTAGATTAATGTATAGCATTTGGAATACTACTAGACAACTTCCAGCCTTCAAAAGGAAAGGAACCTTAATAAACCATTTCCTTCATATACTGTATGTGTATACCTGTACAGTAGGTTTTTCAATAGAAGCCCTTCTTCTAATGCTGTCAACTTCCAGGATATAATGAATGGTTAAATTGGAAAACATTTACTTGGCGGAGACCTGCCAACTGTTGAATGTTCAACAACCAAGCTCATCTTAAACATACGATGTTTTGTTTTCAATGACTATGTATATTTGCCTGTACTTTTGTACTTGACATGGCGGTATTGAATAGTAGTATAAAACCCTTTTAAATAAATAAAAGCTAACTTTCCTAAAACTAACACTTGGCAGCCTCATTACTCCAGCACTCTGAATTTACCATCTCACTTACAAGATGGCAATTTGCATACTTCTATTAATAAAATAATGGTCTCACTCAAATTTTAATCCCAACTATTACACCCACTGAAATGAATGGTATTTATTGGTCAGCATTTATATCAATTCTGTGTATTTCAGTGGGTCTATTTTTGTTTGAACTAACGAAGGTTTTCCCAGTGTGAACAATTTCCACAATCTCTAAGAGTCACCAAATTGATGAACTACACAAATCTGGAAAAAAAAGCCCCTGAAAGAGTCCAAATTCTGTAACATGCCAAAACAGAAGACTGTCTTTGATGAAAACTATTCTGAAGACTGTCTCTGATGAAAACCTGTGACTATGGAATACACACACAGTTCTACAGTATGCTTATCAGTGCTGTATATGCTAACAGTAGACAGCATCTGCAAATGTTTGCTTAGGTACACTTTTAGAAAGCTTTTGGGGAACCAAATAATTTTCCAAATACACATTTCAAAAACACTTGATATCTTTATAATGTCTAACTTGTATGCTGGAATTAGCAGTTCTAGAAATGAGCATGTTTTGAAATAGCCAACTACTTTACAGCATCAGAATGATTTATGCACCTGGAAACTGATGCCCTTTCAGTCCCAAAGTATGTGTAGGTGCCATCAAATTGCCTGTTGACTTATAGCAACCCCATGGATTGCATACGTTTTGGTTTTTTTTTGCAAGGAATAATCAGGAGTTGTTTTGCCAGTTCCTTTCTTTGAAATGTAGCCTACAGAACCTAGTATTAGTTGGTACTCTCCTATCCAGGGCTGACTTTGCTTAGCTTCTAAGATCAGATGGGATCTGCTGCCCTTAAAAGTATTTAAACTTTCAGTCCCCGTACTTCAAGCAAATTCTTATGGAGATCCTACTAGCTGCTCTAAAGGTTGGCTCAAAATTTAGTATTTGGAATTACAAATAAATGTCACTACAACCCCAAGAAAATCATATTTTGAAAGAATTAATTTTCTTGATAGTATATAGTTTCTATGGGTTTTTCAACTCACCGGGGAATGCTTCCTACTTGCCAATGGTGAGTGGAGTTCTCAAGAGCCACCCACTTCGAAAGTGGCCTAAACATCCTAACTGCTACATGGACTCGATGACTACGCCTCATGTCCACATTTGTTCATTTACAAATGTCTTTGACGAAGCTGCAAATGAATGGCAACCCACAGCTTAATCCCTGCTCATACAGTAATCAATTCTAGAGCCTGTCACAGACACAACTGCATCCTGCCAAGTTACCAGGGCAACCATTTCATGTCATAAGGATGCAGTTCTTTTAAGCTTAGTCAGGAAGCAGATCATTCTCTTCATCTGAGATAGCATTACTGAATTCAATGAAATGATCCTGGAATTATATTTCATTAAAATATATTGGATGAAGGGCTACTTCATCCCATAAAATTGCTGCATACTTTTAATTATTTTATCATACAAAGCTTTCACTTTATTTACTTGAAAGAATATAACTTCCGACAATAATATAAACAGGGATAAAAAGTAAAATCATAATACACGGTGTAGAACTTCTACACTAAAGTCATTTTCTTTTATAAATTTTGCAGTACATAAAGCTAAATCAGTAGAGGTGTGTGGAAAGAGCTGCCTTCTGTTTGTGCAATTTTGTATCCTATTCAATTCAGTGTATACGGATAAAAATGTCCATGTTCTTCACTGTACAAAATATTTGGTGCAAGTGTATTTTGCAGTTTTATACATAGCTGGCCTTAAAAAAACCCAATCTGCTGAAAATTTTGCTGCTCAATGCCAGGTAATTAAATAGAGAAACAGTCTTGATCCAGGACATTAAAAAAGGAATGAGGAATCACACAGGGGGAGAAAGTAAAGGTGGAACTGGAAACCTATTTGTTTGTCCCTTGGCATGATTGCTCACCAGTCATGGGCCCGGTAACCATTTCAGCCATTTAATTCGTGTATTCGTACCATTTGTTTCATTTGGATGGCTCGAAACAGTACTCCCCAGTGCAAAAATACCAGTGAAACGACAGGAAAGTGGGAACAGTAAACGTTTGGTTGCCTGATTTTCGGTGTTTGGCTGCAGGCCCGGGCAGGCGCACACTCTTTGGGCCTGCAAGCCGCACACATACTCTCCTTGGAAAGAGAGTGTGGGTGTGGCATGAAGGCCCAGAAAACACCCACGCCGGCTAGTGTCTAAAACTGAGAAGAGGAGCATGGGAAGCCCACCCATTGCCGTCAATGGGACAAAATTACTCGGGTTTTTTGGACCTGGGATGAAAAACTCCTTTGGAAAGGCGCACGTTTTTGGGAGAGGTGAACAGAATGAAACAAACAGAAATGGATAGTGATTCTATACAAATGTACAATATTATAGCTCACTGTCTTCCTCCCCTGGGCACAAGAAAGGCAGTGAGTAGTCGGGCAATTGTGGGGGAAAAGGGACACTTGGCCCTTCCTTTCTTTCTCCACTTGCCTGATTGCTTACTGCCTTTCTCGTTACCCAGGCATCCAATTTCTTCATGCTCTTCTTTTCTTCTCCCCTTCACCCTACCTGCTGCCTCTGTTGCTGCCCTATGCCATTTTTCATATGGATTTGCAAGCCTTGCCATTCATTCATAGTATCCTAATCTGCAAAATTTGCAGTGTATATTAAAATGGCATAGGGTAATGCAGATGTGGCAGCAAATTAATCAAGGATAATCAAAGTTGCAAAAGTAAAACTCATGAAAGAGGGGAGGGGGATACATCTGTATTTTGTTTTATAGAAAGCACAGGATGACACTGTTCCCAAAATATCCAGAAATGTCATTTCGTGTTGACACTACAAATGATATTCAAGGAATACAGCCCTAGGTGTCTCAAAATCCCTACAAATGCCATTAAATATCGGTGTTCACTTACCTTTTTTCTGATGCCATTTTTACTTTATTCATGCTGGAAAAGGTTGTTCGTCATATCAACTTGAAAGGATTAGTTCCTCATATCAACATCTCACAATATCTGGAGGTGAGGAAATAAAAAAGGATGTCTGAGTGCAAATATTTTTCTACAGAGTTTTTATGAGCTCAATTAAACATTCTTCTTTTAGGAGATCTTATTGGAATACCATACATACCCATACTCCAAGACTAATGTAATATTGGTGGAAGACCTAGGTCTCTGCTTAATGGAATGTGAGGTGTGTGCTTAGTTGCATACAATGTAAGTAATCACACATCTGACAAGATTTTTAAAAGCCTGTTTAGGATAAAATGGTGTACATATAATCAAATCAGAATCAGTGTGTTATGCTTGGAAAGACAGAATGAAGCTGGCACTAAAATACAGTGCTATAAAAAGTAAAGAAACAAGTAATGTGACGTGTCTGCCCTTATGGCAGCATAAAAAGTTTTGGGGCACTTTAGTTTGTCATTAGAATGGTAAAAAAAATTGCAACTCCATAAAAATTGTTAAGAAAAAAGTCTCATCATGACCAATTTTCTTTTCTCACATCAAGTTTCATAACAGCAATCACTCTAGAAAATGTCATATGAAAGATTTTCTGATCAGCTCTTGCAGAACCTTTGTATTAATGTAATACAATCAAAACAAATTATCAAAAGTTCAATATATAACAGTGTCTTGACTGTATCAGCTTATCTTCATCAAATGCTTTGCCAAATTCTAGTGTATGTTTTCAACCAAACCAATCATTTTTATTATTTGGATTTTGTTTTTGTCTAATGGACACTAGTGTCTTCAAAAACTTTGTTAGATAAACATATGAGGTTTATTTTTGCAAGAACAGTATGCTTCTCTTATATAATCACCACTGTGATTTCATCCATCAAAATATTTACTTACAGAGCTGTCTCTGGAATCCCTTTATTTTGAAAATGATTTTATAACAGAGATAAAGTGGCACTTAGCTGTATATACCATCATTGAAACCATCACCTAATAGACATGACAAATACATTTTCCATAGGTGATATCCAACTTTTTGAATTTGGTAACCAACAGAAAACACTTTAAATATCAGAGTTTGGGGAGTCATTATTAATTAGTTATTGGCCTCTTTTAAGGCTTTAAGCCACTGGAAAAATGTAATTTTCATTCAACTTCAAAAAATTTTTTAGATTCCTTATGTTAATAACCCTAGAAAGGATATGCTTACAGATGCAATTCACTTAAATGCTTTGTTGCAATGAAATAACCATCTCTGAAGGCAAAATACAGTTTCCATCCCTGGCATCTGTAGCTGATGGAGATAAATTAAGTGACCTCTTGACAGTCACTGGTAACTACTGGACTGGATGAGTCACTGGTCTGACTCAAGGGCAAGTTCAACTATTCTGATGGTTAACAACTTGGATCCACTTATAATCCCTTTGAAATGTTTCCTACTTGGGACATTCTCTATACTGTATTTCTACTTGATGTTGTGAAGACTGTTCAAGTTCTAATATGGGAGATAACTTATAACTTTCAAACAATGCTGCATATTGTCATTTTTTCCATCACAGCCCACAAAGGTATTTACTGATGGGTCAAATGCTATCACTAAAGTAGTATCACATATTCCCAAATAAAGGGAGTTTAATATTGTCATGTGACATAGTTTTCTTTTGCTACATAGAGAAATAATAGGTCCAAATGTTTGAAGTGCATTGTCACCCTGAGTCAAAGATCACATTCTTAAGATGTTTTTCTCCACTCTTCAAATCTGGACACATGTTCAGCAGTAACTAATAAATACTTGTTCTATTATAGCCCCAATGGACAAGAATTTTCAAATTTCTACATTTTCTATGCAGGAAAATACCATATCTCCACTATATTTCTTGGTTTTGTTTCTTTGCTTAACTGTATAACTTTCGCCTATCAGAAAAACAATGAAACCTTGATTTATCAAGCTTTCCTACCCCCCACCCCCAAAAAATTCATCATGCAATTGCCCCATCTCACTAACAGAACATGAGCTGGAGATCATCTTTAACTTGGTATCCTGATATATATCCCCCCATCTTTGTTTAGCATTTTTATCTCTACAAAAAATCATTAAAGAGGAAGAAAAATAATAGAAGCATTTTTATTGTGACACAACTGTATAACCTTCTTGCACCACTCCATCAGAATTTACATTTGATTATGGCAACAAATATATGATCAGGTAGATAGTAATGCAATTTCTTTATATCAAAATTTCTCTTCCATCTGAAAGGGATTTACTATTTTTATTTTTTCCACTACCATATTCTTCTCTAACACAGAATTTAAAGCATACTTTTACCAAATACCTTTACCAGGTATCAGCACTGATAGATTTACCAGTCCCTTTGTAGCTTAATCCTGTTATATCAATGGCATGAGAGATGATCCCAGATAGCCTTTGACAATAGATCCTAGATACCTTTATCCCACAGTGTTATTGTAATACTTAAAAACTCAATGCCAAGTCAGCAAGACCCAGTGTAAAGCCTTCCCGTCAGACAATGTCCTTAGTTCTCATACTGCATGAGAACCCATGAAATCAGAGGCCTTTCAACTACATGGCCACAGTGAAACATTTGAACAGAACAACCAGATGGAAGATACAGCAAAGCACTTCCTACAAAGCCACTATATCAAAAGTCAGAAGACTCACCACTCTGGTAGTATAAAGGCCATCAGAAATCCACATGAACACCATCCCAATGAAACATGACTATTTCTTCCAGCCTTACAGGAGTGTAGGGAACTGAAACATGGTTCTCTATTTCTAGAAACAGATGTGGGGGGAAAGATAACTCAAGTGCAATCTGCACTAATGATACATTTGAAAACTGCAGCTATTTTCCTGGAAAACCTTACTCAGAAGCAAATACTATCTTGGACAAACACTCTCATACTAGGGTGAAGCAAAAGTAGCTGTTTTATTATGACCAAATGAAGTATAGTAAGACTCATGCAACGCAGTTCAACAAGGCTGGAAAATGTATTTTGTCTAAACCATTTTGCATAAACTGGAATATTTAAATTCCACTCTTCACTCTTTAGAATTTGGAAAAACAACCCCACAACAACAAATGAACAAAATTGTGTGTTGCAAAGTTATGTCTTCCTGTTTGTTGGACCAAGGGCTGGGTTTAGACAAGCGCAGTTCAGACGGATTTGGACAGTTGTCAAAGGGGGTGCTTTGGAATTTGGGTACATTTCAAGGAGAAATCAAGATGGAAGGTGAGATGACGTTTTCACTTTTTCATCCTTGCTAGTCAAAACCACTTTGCAGCAAGGAATATTAAACATGAGCCAGTAGTCAAGGATCCCCAGTCAAAACAAACCGACTATGAGAAAGGGAGAAAATAAAAATGGGATATTGCAAAACTCACTGTTGTCCCCTCCCTCACTTCAGTTCATGGTGTCCTTCTGCTGCATCAATTAGTCTTCCATTACTTAAAAGAAAGCCCTGGATACAACTGCATTTGACAAAATTTCTGGTTTCTGTAATAATATTCACACTCATTTCAATGATTTCAAAAGTAATCATTAAAGAAATAATTTTATGAAAATAGTAAATGGTTAATTGCCTTCCCTAACCCACTCAAACCACATTATTTTACTACCACAGTCATTAACAAATTAATGACAAAACTCTATTCATAACCAGGATGGAGTCAGGAGAATTGACTGTTCTCAGTTATCTCCCCCCCCCCCCCCCCACTATAGTTTTCAGCAGAGAAAAAATAGCACTACAATACCACATTCACCTTTAATAGGCTTTCAACGTTAGAGCACCCCATCTTTTTCTAAACCACTTAGCAACAGTCCTTACTGGATAGCGAAAATCATTGCTCATATTACGGCAATTAATCATTCTTTTTCCCATGCCAGTCTGGATTAAGGGTACTTTGGAAATTCACTTTAGTACTGTAGAAGTGTTTTCTTCCCTACAAACACTCAGACTTTCAGGTGACACATCTGCTGCAAGTGATTTGCAGTGAGGATTGACATCTTGTTTTTGTCACTGATTTTAAGTGTGAAGACATCATTGGGGGGGGGGGGGGGGGGGGAATTAACCAAACTATATAGCAACAGGTCTTATTCCTTCTAAATGTACATGGCAAAGCATTCTATCATTCATCAAAACTGTGTGAGTTTCCTGCTTTCCACAAGCAGACAAATACAGTGTAGCCTGCTTTTAGAATAAATGGTTGGACTGTGCACATTTCCCACATCCTCATCCCTCCACCCGGCCCAAGTTTCTCATATGCCAGAATAGTTGTAACATGGATGAGCCACAGACAAATGCATAGGAATGTGAAATGCTTACACAACCACTCAAATGTTGGAGCCAAAAAAGGCGGGGGGGGGGGGGCTATCCTGGCTAAAGTGAATTCTCTGCCTGCATGGGTGCATCTCCATTGTAGAATTAATGAAGTCTGACAACACTTTAATTGCCATGGCTTCATGCTATGAAATTCTGGGAGCTGTAGTTTGACAAGGGAAAGGCAGAGAAAGCTAAAGGCCTTGTAAAACTACAGTTCCCAGCAGGTGACTCAACCTGTATTTTGTAATCAGGTCAGTTAAAAAAGATTGGCTTAACCCTGGATAGTTTTAAACACTAATTTTATTACAGCTATAGGAAGCCCCTCCAGAAACGCTTCTGGGTGGAAAGAATATAATATTTTAAATAAGCCTTTAAAAAAATAAACACCCATATGGACTGAGATTACTAACAATTCAGCTTGTTTAATAAACGGAAACATGCCAGCATTATCTGGATAATACATCATGGATTGGGGATACAATTACTAGGCTTATCTATTAGTAGGTTTCTTATCCACTCTTTATCTATTCTAGAAGAACACTTGTGAAAAATAAGACTTGTCAGACATTAAGAACACATGCAGGTCCTACAGGAGTTTTGGACTTCAACTCCAACAATTCCTAATATCGGGAAGCTGTCTGGGATTTCTGGGAGTTGCAGTACAAAACACCTGGAGGGCTGAAGTTTGGCCATACCTGCCTACAACATTCTTCTGCTTATGCTCCTCCAGTAAAGGATGATGCAAGCAGCCTCTATTACTGATGGCAAAATATATTAATCATGATTAGCAACTACTGATAGCCTAATTCTCCAGCAATCTTTTAAAAGTGACCCAAGCTTTTCTTAGAGTACCAACTTCCACAGGTTGACCACATACTCTTTTGTTTCTTCTGTCTCCCAACACTGAACAAATCATACTATGAGAAGATAAAACAAGCTTCTTCCTAGGCATTTTCTCCTCCACGCACAACCTATATAATGCTATATTCATGTCTCTCCTTACTTCCCTTTTTCTTAGATATAATCACAAACATTGCTATCCTTCTTCACAGGACATTGTTCCTGGGCCTTGGTTTGACTATTCTTCCTCTGCACCTTTTCCAACTTTACAGTATTTTTTTCATGCGCATTGACCAGAAGTGTATGCAGTATTCCATGTGGGATCACACCACAAGATTGGTACAGGGATGTGTGAATACGTGCCTTCAAGTCACCTGTTGATGTACAGTGACTCAATGAATTTCACAAGGTTTTCTTGGGCAAAGAATACTCAGAGATGTTTTGTTAGTTCCTTTTCTGTGAAATGCAGTCTACATTGCCCATCAAATGCTAACCAGGGCTGATCCTGCTTAGCTTCCAAGATCAGGTGAGATCTGGTGCCTTTAGGATATTTAGGCTCTTGTGTAAGGATAGTATGATATCAACAATTCTGTCTTCAGTTCATTTTCTAACCATGCCTTGGCATTTGCTCATTTTTACAGCAGTAGCACACACTTGGTAACCTTTTTCAAAACTCTGATCGTTTTCCTGGACAGTGACTGTTAGCTGAGATCTGAGCAGCGTATATGCAAAGCTTTTTCTTCTTCTTTTGCCTCAATATGAACGCACCTTGAAGTCAATTTCGTTTGATATTTGAGCATCCCTTATGAGTCTCCTTGCAATACTTTAGATCTAAAAGGAGTGTAAGTTGGTGCTCCTTAAAGTTCTGACCTGTAGACTGGTGCCAGTCTGTGAAGCTACTAGATGCAGGTCTCTTGAGAATTACCAGAAAAGAATGAAATAACTGAAGGGAAGTGGGTACAAACATGATATTGGTCCCTGACAAGTCTGCTGTTTCCCTACATGAGATAGCTTAAGAGACACGTACTTAAATGACTGTGCATATTAACCAAACATGGGCACTTTGCTACTTAGCCAAACCGTCAGGTCATTTATAAAACAAGTTTTAAAATACCCCCAAATCCATAATTATCCAATGGATGACTGAGACAGTGACCCCTTTGCTTTCTGATGGGTTAGTGTACACTAACTTTCTTACATCTCCATTGATGTGGAATTTGCATGATCCCACCCACTGCCTCTCCCATTACCCTTTCCTACACTTTTCTGTAGGGCATATAGAGTGGAATTGATCAGCAACTGAACATACTGGAGGGGGTTGGGGGACTGACTCAACATGATGGAGGTTGTAATCCACCCTGCATCAAGACACTGCACTGTGACCACCACCAACAATGGAGCTGGACCATATTTGGCCCACAGAACCCCCTTGACCAACAAAAAATGCTGTGGAGGGAATTCACCTTGATTTGGGGGAATTGTAGTTCACCTACATCCAGAGTGTACTATGAACCCAACCAATGATGGATCTGGACTAAACTTGGCACACATACCGAATATGCCCAAATTTGAATGCTGGTGGGGTTTGCTAGGAATTGTCCTTGACATTTGTAAGTTGTAGGTACTGGGGTTTATAGTTCACCTGCAATCTAAAAGCACTCTGAGCTCCACCAACGATGGACCTGGAACTAACTTGGCACACAGAACCTCATGAGCAGAAAATAATACTGATTTTAATTTTTTTGAATAATTCAGGCAACCCAAGCTAGTTGTAGTAGTATTAGTAGTGATGTGAAAAATCAGGGGGGAAGCTGAAAAGAGAAGTGTCAGAAAGAAATAATAATAATAATAGGTACAGTGCTGAGAGTGTGTGACTTGCCCTCCTTCATCCAGTCAGTTAGGAGCCCCCAGTGGCACAATGGGTTAAACCCTTGTGCCTGCAGGACTGAATACCGACAGGTTGGAGGTTCGAATCTGAGGAGAGCGCAAATGTCAGCACCGGCTCCCCATGCGGAGACATGAGAGAAGCCTCCCACAAGAATGGTCAAACATCAAAACATCTGGGTGTCCCCTGGGCAACGTCCTTGCAGACGGCCAATTCTCACACACCAGAAGCGACTTGGAAAAAACCAAAACAAACAAACTTGTGGCCCACTCTGTACATTTTAATTTATCTAGGATCCTGCAATACATTCATTCATTCATATATATATATATATAGAGAGAGAGAGAGAGAGAGAAGATGATGATGAAGAAGAAGAGGGTGGTGGTAGTAGCAGCCAGAGGCCCCTTTGTGACTTGTGGCCCACCCTGTATATACTTTTTAACGCATTTGAAACGTGTTTGAATGAGAGAGAGAGCAGCATTCCAAAGGCATTGAAAAGTACATACCAAATATATAGATTAAAAACAAGGCTCTGTGGATAACACCATCCAGCCGTGGCTCCAGGCTCCTTCCCTCTCGACCCCCCTCCCTCCTTCCTTCCCCAAGAGCTACCCTCCAGAGGACTCTCCTCCGTCCCTCCGACAGATATTGGCTCGTTAAAGGGAAGGTCTCTCCCGCCGCCCCCTCTCGGCTGCCAGTCAGTCACCTTCTCGGGTCGCGGGCGGTGGTCTCCTTTAAGCCTCGGCCTCCGGGCACCTTCAGCTCAGCCGCACCCGCCGACGAAGGGCGAGGCAGGTGGGAACTGGTGGCGGCGGCAGCAGCAGCAGCAATGGAGACGCCCCCGCTGCTGCTGTGAGGAGGGGGAGAGGGAGAGGGCGGCGGCGGCGGCGGCGGCGACCCGGGGCGCTCCGCAGAAGCAGCCTGGGCTGAGGCGGCGTCGGCAGAAACCTGTCCGCATCCTGGAGACGTCACTGCGCTCCCGGCTCCCCTACCCCTCCTATGCGCACGCGCATTCTGCCGCCGGCCCCCCGCGCGCGCGCTCCTTCCTTTTCTCTCTCTCTCTCTCTCTCTCTCTCTCTCTCTCTCTCTCTCTCTCTCTCTCCCCCCCCCCCCCCCCCCCCCCCCCGCTTGCCTGAGGCGGACGGTTAAACGCCTTTCTGGAGGGGGGACGCGCGCGCCTCTTCTGAATTCCCTCGCGCCGCCGCGTCACTTCGGAAAGGGAGGGAGGGAGGGAGGGGGAAGCGAGAGGGGTTAACGGGATACCTTTCCCTCCCTCTCTGAAGCGGCCCCGGCTAGACACCTGTGGCCCGCAGCACCTTGGAAACCCAGGGGGGATGAAAAGACACCAAGCACGGGGGTTTGCAGTTTTGTGAGGCAGAAAGAAGGGTGACCACCTTGCAAAACGACAGCTACCGTGATTCCATAGTGCTGCCATTAATTCCACAGCATAGATGTGCCCCAAAGTTGTCTTCTAATGTCAAGGCCTGCACAGGTTGTGACCTCCCTTGCCTGTAAGTCTGAAATACTCCGAAATTTATTTATAGCCCGCCTTTCTCAGCCATATGGCGACTCAAGGCGGGTTACAGATTGGTACAGTTTGATGTCAGGCATTCATAAATGTGGGCCACTTCACATCAGATGAACAGAGGAACACCGAAGAAATGGAGTAGCCTTCATAATTAATAAGAAAGTTGCTAAAGCCGTGCTTGGATACAACCCAAAAATGACAGAATTATCTCAATTCGAGGGCAAGGAAAGCCTTTCAACATTACAGTGATCCAAATATACGCCCCAACCACAGCTGCTGAAGAAGCAGAAGCAGATCAGTTCTATGAGGATCTGTAGCACCTACTGAATAATACACCAAAAGGAGACATTATTTTCATTACAGGAGACTGGAAGAATAGTAGAGGCCAAGACGAAGTACTTCAGCCACATCATGAGAAGAAAGGAAAGCTTAAAGAAAATTATGCTGGGGAAATGGAAGGAAAAAGGAAGAGGGGCCAACCAAGGGCAAGATGGATGGATGGCATCCTTGAAGTGACTGGATTGACCTTGAAGGAGCTGGGAGTGGTGATGACTGACAGGGAGCTCTGGCGTGGATTGGTCCATGAAGTCACAAAGAGTCGGAAACGACTGAACGAATGAACAACAACATTCATAAAAATGCCGTTACAGACAGTCAACATTACAATATTAAACATATAAAATCCGTTAAAGCATATAATCTTTGGTGTCCTGTTAAAAATGCTATCCAGTAACGTCTGGCCATTCCATGTTCATCATTCATAGTTCCGTGTTATCTATTCCGCTGCATTCTCCAAAACTTACTCAAAGAGCCAGGTCTTAAGGTTTTTTTGGAAAGTCAGGAGGCAGGGGCCGATCTAATATCCCTGGGGAGGGAGTTCCATAGCCAGGGGGCCACCACTGAGAAGGCCCTGTCCTTCGTCTCTGCCAATCACACTTGTGAGGCAGGTGGGATCGAGAGCAGGGTCTCCTCAGATGATCCTAGATGGTTCATAGGAGGAGATACATTCAAACAGGTAAGCTGGGCCGGAATATTTTAGGGCTTTATAGGCTAAAGCCAGCACTTTGAATTATGCTCGGTAGCAAATTGGCAGCCAGTGGAGCTGACGCAACGGGGAGTTGTATGCTCCCTGAGCGCAGTTCCCGTTAGTAACCTGGCTGCTGCCTGTTGGACCATTTGAAGTTTCCAAACAATCTTCAAAGGCAATCCCATGTAGAGCACTTTGCAGTAATATATTCGGGATGTAACCAGAGCATGGACCACCGTAGCCAAGTCAGACTTCCCAAGGTATGGGCGCAACTAGCACACAAGTTTTAACTGTGCAAATGCTCCCCTGGTCACCACCAAAACTTGGGATTCCAAGCTTAGCGATGAGTCCAGGATCACACCTAAGCTGCGAACCTGCGTCTTCAGGGGGAGTGTGACCCCATCCAGCACAGGCTGTAACCCTATGTCCTGTTCGGCCTTTTGACTGACCAGGAGTACCTCTTTCTTGTCTGGATTCAATTTCAATTTGTTCGCCCTCATCTAGATTGTCACAGCGGCCAAGCATTGGTTCTGGACCTGAACAGCCTTCTTAGTAGTAGGTGGGAAGGAGTGCCAGTGTTGGATGTCATCTGCGTACAGGTGACATCGCACCCCGAAACTCCAGATGATCTCCCCCTGCGGCTTCATGTAGATGTTAAACAACATGGGGGACAATATTGAGCCCTGCGAAACTCCGTAAGACAATAGTTGTGGGGTTGAACAGGTGTCTCCCAGTAACACCTTCTGGGTGCGACCTTCCAGAAAGCACCAGAGCCACTAAGACAGTACCTCCAAGGCCCATCCCCGTGAAGTGACCCAGAAGGATACCATGGTCGATGGTATCGAAGGCCGCTGAGAGGTCCAGCAGAACAGGGACACACTCCCCCCGTCTAGCTCCCGGCGTAGATCATCCACTAAGGTGACCAAGGCTGCCTCGGTCCCATGTCCCAGCCTAAAGCCAGACTGTGCCTGATCCAGATAATCCATGTCTTACAAGAAATACCTGAAGTTGTGAGGCCACCACACGTTCCATGACTTTGCCCAAGAAGGGAAGATTAGAAACTGGCCGATAGTTGACGAATTGAGTGGGGTCCAGTGATGGTTTCTTCAACAGCGGTTTTATCACAGCTTGTTTTAAGCTTGCTGGAATATTGCCTTCCCAAAGGGAGGCATTAACCACCACTTTCACCCACTTAGCCAATCCCCCTCTGGCTTCCTTTGTCAGCCAGGATGGGCAGGGGTCTAGGATACATGTGGTCGCTCTCATTCCTCCAAGTATCTTGTTCACATCCTCCGTTTTCACCAATTGAAATGAAGCCATCAAAATTGAACAAGCAGGTGCTTGTGTTACATCCTTAGAGACTGTCGCTAACATGGTGTCCAGGCCAGAGCGGATCAAATCAACTTTGTCTGCAAAGAACCAAGCAAGTGCTTCACAGCGGGCTGCTGAGTTGTCAGGACTCTAAGTTCTAATTCTAAATTAGCCACATGGGTAGTAGGTGTAGAGGCACTTACACTGTAGAATTAATGAAATGTGCACAGTAGAATTAGTGCAGTTTGATACCCACTTTAACTGCTACAGTTAAATACTATAATAGCTAAAGTAGAGCAGTTATGGGCAAACTTAGGCCCTCCAGGTGTTTTGGACTTCAACTCCCACAATTTCTCACAGCTGGTTAGCATCAGGCATTGGCAAACTTCAGCCTTCCAGGTGTTTGGACTTCAGCTCCCACAATTCCTCACAGCCGGTTAGCACAGATTACATCAGGCATGGGCAAACTTCAGCCTTCCAGGCGTTTTGGACTTTAACTCCCACAATTCCTCACAGTCGGTTAACACAGATTATATCATCAGCATATTGGAGTTCTATAACACATGGCTATGACCTTGGTTTTAGCTTTCAGTCTGCTGAGGTTAAAGAGTTTGCCATTAGTCTATTATGTGATTTCCACACCAGTGCGAAGCCTCCCATCAACAAAGTATAGAATCATAGCTATAAAGATGGAAAATAAGTTTAGGGCAAAAATGCATCCTTGTTTGAGATCTGATCCCACTTTACTTTGGTGATCCCTCATTGTCCAAGTAAGATTGTTCTCCAAGTGCGGTGTCCTGGTGGTGGGCACGTAGGTGACTGTGGAGCCCTATCCTTGACCCGCATGTTATCTCGCAATGAGGGCATGGGTTTCCAGGTAGAAGGCGGTTCCCGTCAGGGTTGGCTTGATATGCCTTCCTCTTGAAATGTTGCTCCCTTTTGCCCTCCATTTATACCTCTTCAAATTCCACAGCACTGCTGGTCACAGTTGCCCTCTCGCTAGAGTGCTCAAGGGTGAGGGCTTCCCAGTTCTCAGTGTCTATGCCAGAGTTTTTAAGGTTGGCTTTGAGCTCATCTTTAAATCTCTTTTCCTGCCCTCCAACATTTCGTTTCCCGTTCTTGAGTTGGGAGTAGAGTAACTGCTTTGGGAGATGGTGATCAGGCATTCAGACAACGGGGACAATCCAGTGGAGTTGATGGCGTAAAAGCATTTATTCAATGCTGGTGGCCTTTGCTTCTTCCAGCATGCTGACATTTTTCAACCTGTCTTCCCAAGAGATTTGCAGTATGTTTTGGAGGCAACACTGATGGAACCTTTCAGGAGTTGAGCGTGGCATCTGTAGATAGTCCACGTTTCACAGGCATTACAGGGTCGGGAGGACGAAAGCTTTATAAAGAAGCACCTTGATCTCCCTACAGATGTCCTAGTCCTCAAACACTCTCTGCTTCATTCGGAAAAATGCTGCACTCATAAATGGGTCACTTTGGGAGCCATTGCTGCCCAAAACTGTTGCCATCATGGAGGAGCCGCAGGATGTTCACAAATTTATCAGGACATCCAATTTTCAGGAGGATGGTCCAGAGAGCATTACAATTCATTGTGTCAACGGCCTTTGCAAGGTCGATGAAAGCCATGTACAAAGATTGATTTGTTCCCTGCATTTTTCTTGTGGCTGTGAAGATCACATCCACCGTTCCCTGGAGAGGAAGAAGCCATTCTGGGGTTCAGGGAAGATGTCTTCTGAAATGCCTCTGGCAGCTTCAATCTAGGATTCACTGAAACAAGCCTCCTCACCATGACAAGGTAACAATCCAGCAAGGGGCAAATTCATTGTGTGGTCCTATCCAGTAACTACCTGCTTTGTATTGGAAACACTGGACATTTTCTAGGTGTAACATGCTATTAGGACAACTGCCTCCAAACACAGTCCTAGCAGGGATGGCAGACTTAATGAAGTTTATTATGAAAGAGAAAATTGCATTCCATAGAAGAGA